CCGGGCCTGGCCCTCGACGAGTCCGACATCCAGCCGCAGCTCAACCGCCGGCGCCCGGGCCAGTCGGCCATCACCACCCCGCGCGACGAGAAGGACCGCGTGACGATAGGATCTGGATGCGAGTTTGGGCGCACGTGTGACAACCCCCCCCCCCCCCCCCCTCTTTGCCAGGAAAGTCATGATGTTTGCACAGGCTGCTAATACCTTAGGGGATCTTGCACAGATTGGGCACACCCATACTCCTGACCGTGCCCAACGAGGACCAGCGTCCTCACGACTACGGCTCCAAGACCATCGACCTCTACCCGCGCCCCTCCCACGCCGACTGGACTTACCTTGAAAAGTATGGCATCAAGGCCTCCTCCGGCGGCGGCCGGAGCAGCGCCCGCGAGACCATTGCCCGCGTCGCCGCCGGCGCTGTTGCCGAAAAGTGGCTGCGCGAGGCCTATGGCATCGAGATTGTTGCCTTTGTCTCCTCGGTTGGCAACATCAAGCTCTTTGAGGACCGGCCTGTAACTGATGGCGACGATGTCGATTCCCTCAGTAGCCACCCCAAGTTCCTCGAGCTTGTTGACTCTTTGACTCGGGAAAAGGTAGACGAATTCCTTCCCGTGCGCTGCCCTGATGCTGCCGTTGCGAAGCGTATGGAGGACAAGATTGCCGAGCTCCGCGATCAACACGACTCCATTGGTGGTACCGTGACCTGTATTATTCGCGGCTGCCCCTCCGGCCTCGGCGAGCCCTGCTTTGATAAGCTTGAGGCTCTCCTCGCCCACGCCATGATGTCTATCCCTGCTACCAAGGGCTTTGAGATTGGCTCTGGCTTCCGCGGCGCTGAGATGCGCGGATCCCGCCACAACGACCCCTTTGTGTCTGCCGCCGCCGCCGACGAGGCGACGCCGAGCGCTGGCGCTGGCATTCCTCCCTCCCGCCTGCAGACCAAGACGAACCACTCCGGCGGCATCCAGGGCGGCATCTCCAACGGCATGCCCATCTTCTTCCGCATTGCGTTCAAGCCCCCCGCCACAATCTCCCAGGACCAGACGACTGCTCGCTACGACGCTTCGGGCGAGGGCGTCCTGGCCGCCAAGGGCCGTCACGACCCTAATGTTGTACCTCGCGCGGTTCCCATCGTCGAGGCCATGGCCGCTCTGACTATTGCCGACGCCCTTATGGCGCAGCACGCGAGGCAGATGGGCATCAAGATCGCCGCAGCTCGACGGTAGTACAGTTCGGAGTCCGAGGGCTCAATCTACTACGAGTGAGCGTGGGCATGAAGGGGGAAAACACCAGCAGTATATAGAAACGGCCAGGATCAAAATGCTTGCAAATATCCAGAGCGTTAGGAGAATACATCATTCATTAGACTTTGGGTCTGTCCACGTTCTGTCCTTGCCTGATGTGAAATCGAAAGAAATGCCTTCAGGCCCGAGCCGAAGGGACGGGCCTACACTTGGTATAGCGATGGTGATTGCCATAGTACTGTTCTGTTCTTCCTCTCCCTACCTACCAAGTCCCTGCGCACGACCAGGAGCAGTCATTCGACGGCGAGTGGCACACCATTGCGCCGGTGGCAGGGAGCCGGGAGATGTTTGAGGCCTTCGGACGTCCCCGTCAGCGACGATGAGAGAGTCCAGCCGTGCGAGGAAGACATAACAGACAGTGCTAGATGGTGAAAGATCAAGCGTCGGCGCGCATGTCCGGTGTTGGAATCAAGCCTGTTGGCCGCATCCGAAGTGCTGTAGCTGTACGTAGACGACAGCCTCCACAGCTCTATGCGACGGACCTCGGCAAAACAGCATCCAAGGCAGATAGGTAGCTGAAGTCCAGGTCCACAGACAAACAGCCCAGTGCCGATATTGAAGGGCTGCTGGTCGCGTGAAAACATGGGCATATCATGCTGCGGCACACACCAGTGCAACGTCATTGACGCAGCTCGACTTCAGCCCTTCCTTGAAGTATCGTTGCCACCACCTCGTGATTGGGCTTCTTCAACTGCCTGGATCTTTTGTTCAGGCTGGGTTGCTCCTCGCATATGTCGGCGCAATCCTTCAGGCTCCATTGGTTGAGCCACTCGACCCCAGGTGTGGCACCTTGTGAACAACAACGGGGGTATGCTTCATTGTTGGTAGGCCGTGGTGTGGCACTACTGAACAAAACGCGGAACGTCCCAGCCGCCCCATGATCTGGCGAGACCCAAGTTTAGAGTGGTGGCGATTCGAATCCCTGTCAAGGCGCCCTGGGCTTCTGAATGGCGGAAAATCCGACAGTTCTTCGATTCCTTGAAAGTCGAGGCTTTTCCCAATTCATGTCTTGCAAGTTGCTAAAGTCTGCGTCGGATGGCCTTCAACCGGTGACAGATCATAATGAGCCCCAGTATGCTCATTTGCTGGGCTCAAAACTAGGATTGCTTAGTGTCTGGCCTCGATGGGGGGGAGGAAAACGTTCATCCTAGCGTGAAGGACGTCTACTCGATGGGTGTTGTGACCAGCTGATGTTGTCGCACCAATATGGAGAGATTTCGTGCATTGAGCGAGTGCCGGCTCACACCAGAAGCCGGCATGAGCATTTTATGCATACCGACAGATCGTCCGCCATTTGATCAGCGGCTCCTTAGCGAAGCCTCTTGCAGAGAGCTGAGTGGTATTGTGACAATGACGACGAGGATGCGGCTTTGTAAATGTACTCCGGGGTCTGGATATCCTCTGTTCAGCACGCCACCAGGATGCAGAAATCCGCCAAAGTATCATCATATGACGCCCGGGCTTCGCAGTTGAGACCCAATCCGTCGAAGTCGGATATGCGCCAAATACACTGGAGTGCGCTGAGAGCAATGAGAAAAGCCGAGTCTGAGTGAGATGTCCAGGGACTTGCTGTAGAGACGCCCGTACTCCGCTGAGGGAAACTCTGCCTCTGCTTGTTATCAGCCGGAAACGTATGGCGAATTTCGACGCTCTTATGGGCATTTTGATTTCATCATCACGCCCACAGCCTGGGAAACGATCATTGAATCTCGCCTCTGGCCTTGAAATTAGTAGGATGAGTCAAGGAATGGCAGTCTCAACAGACTGGTCAATGTTCAGCTCGTTCGCCCTCGCGGTCTGTCTCACCAGGGCTGCCATCGTCTCCTTTTGCCTGCGAATTGATAGCGACGAGGCTGAGTTAGCAGGAAAGGCAAGCGCCAGAGTTAAGGAGTGTGCACTGGCTTCCAAATGCCCGTTTGCCTTGTGGTGCCTTCAGTCTTATGCCATTCTCAGCCGATAGTCTTCCGCCCCTTTGACGTAAAGGGAACAACAGTGTCGACCAGTCTCTCAAGGCTGATGAATCATCCTGCCGCTGCCATTCCAATCTGATTGTTGCAAGGTTAATGCTTCTGCGCTGGCCTTTCAGTGCCGCCTCTTTCCATAGACCAGACCACCACCACCTGAAGGCCAAGAAACTCAGGGGCATTCGTGTGATAATCCTCATGCCTGACGCGTCAACCCTCTTGTGGCATGCTCCCTTCAATGGCCTTCGAAAATCAACATGGGGGCCGTACTGCCGTGGTGTAGAGAGATGGACCGAGCCACGTCATACAGGCTGCCTCAAGTGGCATTCGATATTTGAGAGGTTTATTTGGGAGGCGATGGCTGGCGGTATATGGATGAGTGTTGATGAGGCCACTTGCAGCATGATGCCAGGATAACAGCCGCTCATCCAATGAAGCCCGGGTTGCATTTGTAAACCGAGATGCTGGGTGACTATTGGGCTCCCAGGGGTCGTAGAAGAGAAGGTTGACGTTCGAGGGCTCGAGGGCAGCAATACCCAGCTGCGGATACCGATCCTGTGACTGTCCAACTGTACCAGCTTCGACGGAAGAAGCCAGAAAACGAATGACTTATCGCCGATTTCCAGACATGCTGTCAGGCTATTGGGAGGAAGTTCAATAACATAACGAGACGGGATGACTCTCCTTCGGCAGCTACATCAGACTTGTTGCCTTGTCTCGAGTAGTGGAAGACGGTCGGCTGAACGCAATTGAGAACGGTAGCAAGGATCCGGAGGCTTGCCATGTGATGACTGACCGCCGGCGCTTCTGGCGTCTCCAGCTAGGGAATATCTACATAGCGAATTAGTGAGCTGGTTGGATGGAGATGCGCTGGTTCTGGGCGGGTGAGTATACTACTTCGAGTCATCAAAAGCCAGGACAGCACGTCGTGCTGCGAAAGGCAGATATGGCTCGCTCAACCCTCAATCGTCTGCTCTCAAGACGTAGCAAGATGGATTCATGCTCGAGAGTCATCCGTCTCGCGGAACCGACATCGAACGAGGCTGGTTTGTTAAGAACATCATTCACAGGTCGTTGGCAGTTGGTCGGGCGATTCTGGCTCTGTGGGAAAGGGAGCAAGCAGGTGAATGGAAGAGAGAGGCATCTCGAAGTGCAGTAGACGTAGACATGAAGACAAGAGTCAAGTACGGAAGGCGGTGTCTCGTGACTTGAGACATTGCATCGAGGGGAGCGGAAGGGGAAGATTAGAAGTCCCGAGTTGTACCTTGCGTACCTACATTGACCCGCGATGTCACTAAGGTAAGTGAGGTAAGGAGGTATCTACAACGGCGGATAAGAGGGTTTGAGGTACTACTATATGTGCTTGTAAGGCTGGATGTATCGAAGCGGTGTTGCTGCTACGGGGATAGTACATCTACTAGAGAAAGCTTGTGCAAAAGGCTGGCGAATCAGCGTCGAAGCCCAGAACATCAGTCCCAAGGGCTCTGCTAGGTAATCAAAGCCGATAAAGCAGTACCTGGTCACTCTACCCATATCGAGCATACATCCAAAGTACCTCCTTAGCGCCGATCCGATGCAGTCATCTGTGGCCCTGTTCCCCTGGAACGACGCCCCGAATCCATCGAGTCCATCTCCAACCAATTTTAAACTTTGGCTCTCGTTCTTTTACCGCTTCCGCTTTCATTCTCCTCAGCCGCCTCTCTCTCGGCTTCGTCTTTGCACATGAATAACTGCATGTCTGCATCTTTAATGTTTGGCAATTTTTAATTCTCTTTCCTCTCCTCTTCCGCCGCCGCAAAAGGAAGCGCAGGCTATCATTCCTTTATATCCGTCTTGCTCCTGTGCTGCTGCTTTTGCCGTCTCGTCTCCTACTTCTTGGATATCCAGTCCGCTCTACTCCGAGATCACAACGACGTAAACAAAACCTATCGAAATCCTGTTCAATCGCAGTCGACGACTCTGAATCCGCTGCAATGAGCTTCCTTGCGACTTGCGTGGGCTACCTCACGCCAATCTTCATCATACTCTCGCCCATCCTCTCCTATGGCGACCAGGCGGTCTCGATGCACCGCAAGAAGACGAGCGCGGGCTTCTCTCTCGACATACCCTTGATCATGCTCATCGCATCTCTCTTCAGGTATTTTTTGCCTTCTTGCTTGCTTTTGCTTCAGATGGCCATGGACTCTGCTGGCCGGCAGATCCGGGACACGGCTGACGCAGAAGTGGACAATTAGGATCTTCTACTGGCCCGGCGCACGATTCGATCCGAGCTTGTTGTTACAATCCCTCATCATGGTGGGGATGCAAATCGCCCTTCTCAAGATTGCTCTCGATCACCGACCGTCTCCGTCGAACAAGGGGGGAGAGGCCGGACTGCCGTTTGCCGCTCCAGAAGGTCTCTTCGCCCAAAGGCCGTACAACTTCTGGCAGTGGAGGTCTCCCAAGCCGTGAGTCTCGCCATGGGAAGGTCTAGCTCTAACAGTTGTTGGAAAACTAATGCCGCGATCAGGTACTGGCAATTCATCCTCTACCTCTTCCTGGGCCTGCTCGCTGGCGAGATTGTCATGTCCAGCATAACGCCTGGCTTCTATCCCACATATTCCGTGCTGGTCGGATACATTGGCCTAGGCGTCGAAGCCACGCTCCCGATCCCGCAGATTCTCGCCAATCTGCAGTCCCGGTCCTGCAAGGGCTTCCGGGTGTCCGTCCTCGCAAGCTGGCTTGGAGGCGACGCCATGAAGCTGTTTTGGTTCTTCACGGCCACGAGCGAGATCCCGCTGGCATTCAAGATCTGCGGCATCTTCCAGGCTGTGTGCGACTGCTTCCTCGGGATTCAGTACCTGATGTTTGGCTCGGGCGAAAACACCGTCAAGGAACATCCGCTGCAAGACGTTTCAGCCCACGAAACCGGAGCGCAGCCGCAGAGCCGGAGCATGACGCCTACGCGCCGGTCAGCTCCGTTTAGCGACTACGAGAGGAAATAAAGGCCCCGGTTGGCATGGATGATGGGATGCTTTGGATGCAGTCGAACTTGGGTACACTAGACTAATGTTAATGACTTTCATGGTTGATACACGCTGATAGACGGGTCGTTTGATGACTTTGCTTGCTTTGCCCTGTTCCTGCATAGACTTGGCTTTGAACAACTGGAGATTTGGGGGTTTGGGTGTATTGTATGTAGAGTCGCTGGTCGTTGGTAAGGTATGTGAGCGCTGCGGTGTAGGTATTGCTACTTGATTTGCGTTAAGAAATGATAAGGCGGTACCATGATGGAGGGACTCGAGTTGAGAGCCACAATGCGCACAATGGGCACATTGATGCCGACTATCACGGGAATCAAGGCAAGGGTAGTAGATCATTTGAATCGGCCTTGTTTTTGCCGCCCAATCGCGACTCTACGATTGAGAGCCGTCAATGCGATGGCGGCCCCAAAGTCGCGCCTTATGCGCTCTGCACCACATGTAAGAGAAGACTCCCAGCCCCCCGACTTTCTCATCGCCTCTGGCAAGGGAAAACCTGGCGCATTCATTCAACGGCCAGGGTACATTCAGTATACATACCTTACATACGAAGCGCGCCCATTGAGGTACCTTGGCTTTATGAAGCTGCAAGAGTTGATGGCTTTATGATTGTACAAGGATCATAATTATACACGTTTTGTCTGGTTTCTTCTGATTCGCAATTGGGGCTGCTGAGGACGGGCTCAATCAAACGCGGTGAGAGAGACAAGGGCGGGAATCGTCAAGATACACCCCAAACGGCCGCCATTCACTTGTTTCCCGCTGCTTCACTGGCATTTCTCTATCGTATAAGGAGAAGTAGGTGCTGCATACCTTAGGTATAATCCCTCTCGTATAGCATTACTTTGGGCTGTGTATCTCTCACATTGACGCGGATAATGCTGACTGATGCCTGTCAGGATCACCAGAGGTCGATTGCTCTCTTACATACAGATACATCACGAGTGGCCTCTTCAGCACAAGCCATCATCAATCTACTGAGAGCTTTCAGAGAATCATTTACGAGATCCTCTGCTTATTTGCGTACCAGTAAGTGTAAGGTCACGAGTTGACTTGTTGAGTCTATATTGTAGTGCCTCTACCTACTCTGGCGCCTCCTCAGCTACCTTTACATGAGCGTACAGACGCTGACTGCCATATACAGGAACCATTCAGTCCTTATCACGATACTACCATATAGCCCGAGGCCCATCCGGACAGACCGGACCATCATTGTCAGAGGCTGTAGCAACTGGAGGGTGTTGAGAAACCTACAGCAGTACGTCTTTTCGAGCAACGTCTCATATACGCTGCCTCTCTTCGATATCACGTCTCAGGTTATCTACGCCTCCATCTCCTCGCCAAGCTCTTAACCTGTTGATCTCTTATACCCCGTCATTCTTCTTCTTCGTCATCTTCGCCGTACTCCCCTTGGCGCCTCATCAGTCCTGCTGAGTTTCCCACACACTGCCGGCGCCCTCATCAGCTCACCTCTGGCTTGACAGTCCATGCCAGCTGGCAGCACTCTTCCTACATCCCCTCCCCCCCGACCAGGTTCACCTGCAAGTCACCTCGCCCATTGCCCTCTCGTCACCCTCTTTTCAGAGTCCGGCGCAAGTCAGGTGACTGCTCTGCATGATTAAACAGCTCTTCCGCCTTGCCTCTTCTCAAAACTCTTCTTTTTCTTTTCACACACCCGCCCGCGCAAAGGTTTCTCAGCTTTGCAGATATCCGCGCACTCGACCTTTGCCTTTACCTTCTCTGCTTCTGTCCATTCTCAACATTGGAATTATTTCCTTTGGGCAGCCTCGTCCGCTTCACGAGATATTCAGTCAACGAATATCACCTCGATCCTTTTCCATCAACTTGCAGTCCGTCGACTTGATTACACATCGCCTCTCCTGGCTGCTGATACTGACCTTTGGCCTCGTCAGAACAAAGAAACACCACCACCATGCCTGCAGCAAGCACCAAGGCAAACTACAAGACCTACGAGGCTCAAGCCCGTATGGTTCGCGCCATCGTTGCTGCTCATCCCGAGGTCAAATGGAACTACAAAGGTACGCAATGTTTCTCACTTTAGTTTCTTTATCGTGGCATTCTTGATCATCTCCTTATGTTCACTCACCCGCCTCCATCTCATGGTTGCATTTCTGCCATCTGCTGGGAAGCCTCCTCGCGTGGTCTCTCTCTCTCTCTCTCTTCAAGCCCTTCTCATCTCATGTCATTTTATTGGGGCGAAGGTTGACTCTTCGTCCCAGAAATTGCCGCCTGCTATGGATCCGACATGAGTGAGCACGCTCTGAACCACCGATTCCGTCGCCTGAGGGCGCAGGCCGTCATCGTTCGCGAGGGTCGCAAAGAGGGCTTCGATATGAAGGACATGATTCCGGATGGAGACCTCCCAGTCACCCAAGAAGCTGTGGAAAAGAACAGTATGCCTTGAACATTGGGCCTTTTACCCCTTGATCTTTCCTCAACTCCCATCCTCCCCTTCCTCATCGCTATGCCCATCAAGCAGCTGCCGTTCCCCTTAGACCTCGTAAACCATGCGGTCGTCCGAGAATGGAGCTAACCCATGTCTCAACAGATATTGCCAAATACTTTGGAGAGTCCACGCCGGACGGCATAGGATTCCAGTTCCGTGGCATCAAGAAAGACGCCGAGACGCTCCGCAAGGTCGAGAGCGAGGGCGGCGACGTCGCCAACTGCCTCAGCCTCGGCACAGCCCGCGGCAGCAGCAGCGTCATGTCCACCCCGTCCAAGCCAACCGCCTTCCGCTCCACTGGCAGCCGCAGCGGCACCGGCACCGGCCGCAAGCGCGCCCGCAAGACGGACATGATCAAGCGCTCCGAGTCGGACGAGGAGGACGACGACGACGTCCTCGACGGCCACAACTGGAGCGAGCACGAGGACACGCCGACCAAGAAGCCCAGGACGGGAGCTGGAGCCTTCCCGGGCCAGAGGACCGGGACTCCCTCTCGCCGAGCCGCCGCCAGGGCCAACGCTACGATCGCTGAAGTCTCCGCGCTGCTCGACAATAGCGACTCTCAGCCCGAGATGGAGGCTTCTTCCTCTTCCGCCGCCGCCAGCCAGCCTACTACTACCACGACCAGCGCCTCCTTCGCCCCGCGAGACGCGTCGCCCGAGCCGCCATCCTACGACCGCTTTGGCACCAGGCCCATCATTGGCGTGAATACCGGACCCCCGGCGGTGGCTAGCTACCATTCCATTTCTCACTATGGTTCTGGCTCGCAGCCCTTTTCCGGGTCGGTCTATGACGATCTGGGTGATGGTGAGATTTAGGGGGGGGGGTGGTCTTGGAAGAAGATTTCCCTACGTCCACGCTCTGCTCTTACCAAGAGCACTGCTCGGATTCACTTGTCGGGAGCATTCCCCTTATGGTCCGACGACGTCTACAGAAGACATGTTGAAAACGAAAAAAAAAAAAAAAAAATGAAAGTACTGATAAGGTGAACCATGTTCACCATGGATCTGGTGGATATTCAAGGACAGGCAGGTATCGGCCATCTATCACGCATGCACGGCGTTGGAGGAGGAAAATGGAAACATTGCTCTTGTTGACTCTTTATTTTTCTTTTCTTTTTCCCTTATCTCTCATTTCAAGTTTATCTATTCCACCCAAGACTTGCCCCTTATTGACTTTATTCACATGGCCTATATTCCCCCTTGCGCCTTTGCCTATTTCTTTCTTCATGACTGGTATCTCTTTTCTCAACAACACATCTGGCCCCTTTTATAAGTACCTACATTTGCTTTCATTGCAGGGTCAGGGCTTCGTCATTTCATTTACTTCTCTCGGTATCTGAAGGAGCAATTAGTGAGATGGCTTGGAGTTGAGAGACAACAAGTTTTCTCTCCTCATGCAGTGCTCGCTTACTTTACTGAGAGGGAACGTCTCAAGAAAGGGTGACGAGAGGAATGGTAGGAAAGGGGATCGGGGTTATTTCAGATCTTCACGCGCAGTAATCTAGGCCCAACTGTTCGGAAATATATATCATGAAATCGGATGAATAGGGGCCCCAGTGAACCGTATTGTGTGTGTCTGTAAACCCATCCCAGAATCACCAGCTTGAAGAGCAGACATGCCCGGTAATGTTGAATCACGCGTGTCTTGGCTATCTCCTCCTAGTCTGTTCTTGTTCCGTGTGTCCAAAACGAGTATGATATGATGCTTTTGTAGATCTCGTCCCTTATATCCTCCAATGAACAAGTGGATCTACAACCCCCTATCAACCTCATCTCTGATTTAACACCGTATAATGCTTTTCGTGGTATTCGTCCCTTCTTGCAACCGCCAACGCCTTACTCCTTACCTTCCTTCAAAGCATCCCCAACAAACTTCATCTGCACCTTACTCGATCAACAACCTCCACAGAGCATCCGTATCCACATAGTCATGGTGGATAATGTTCACGAGCCAGTAGTCCTCCCGGATTCCATCCAACAGCTTCTGGCTGTCCGAGCCCCGTCCGTACACCTTGGCCCACTCGGCCCAGATGCCAAACGCCTCCTCGCTCCAGGCGCGGAAACTGACCTCCTCGATAATGGTCGGCGTGACAATCTCCTTGCCCGGGAAGACTCCCCACGTCACGGCGTTTGTGCTCTCGCTGCCACCGGCTCGAGCCGAGCCGCCGGTGTAGTCCGAGGAGACGAAGTCGCCCTTTGCGTTGGTGGCGTAGAAGCACACCACCTCCTCGACCTCGGCAGAGGTGAGCTTGTCGTAGAGAATCTTCCAGTCCGCCGACGGGAGGAAGAACTCGACAAAGGACTTTTGGAAGACGAATCCTGAAGCCGGTCCCCAGCCGAACGTGGGGTCTGACGAGGGCAAGCCGTTGACGGCGGGCTGAGAGGCAACGGTCCACCAGCCCTTTCTGTTCAAAGCCTCAAGCTTGTCCTTGATGATGGAGGACTCGGGCAGCAGGTCCTCTTCGCTCCACGGGATGGCGGATATCTCGCCTCGAATGTGTCGCACAAAGATGTCGTTGATGTCGCTGGCCACCTTGGGATAGCCCCAAAGACGGACGGCCTGTGTGACGGACATGTGGAGACTGACGCCGTAGCCGTCAATCTCTCCGTACGCAGGCGAGCGGGCATCGCCAAAGCGGCCGTTGGGGAAGTCGTCCCATGTTGCCTCACGTCCAAGAGCGCCCTCGCCCTCGGAAATGGCCAGTGTGTTGGCACGAGTGTTGACGCTTCCGGCGGGAATGCCCGCCTCTGTGCTTGAGGCTTCCCATTCGGGGTGCGTGGCCGCTCTGCCGACAATGACTCGGTTGTGGGGGTCGGAGCCGACAGAAGACTGTCTCCTGGCCGTACGCGTGTGGCTAGGCGCGCGAGGGGGGACGTTGCCATTGACGCTGATCTTTGGTATCATCCTTTGCACTGCCGCCACCGCCGGGGATTCATCGGCGATGGCTTCCTCCTCGTCGGGAATGTCAGGGATCAGCTTGGTCCTCTCGAGGATAAAGGAGACGGATTTCTCCAGATTGAGCGTGTAGAAATGAAAGCCCTTGGGGCCGGGAGTCCTGCTCTTGATCTCTCGAATCTGCTCCACCAACTCGCTGAGGATATCCACTCCGACCATCTTGACCTTCTCATCGTCCCCCTTGACGGCGTTGAGGCGGTCCATGATGGCGTCCGGCATCTTTGCATGGCTCAGCTTCGTCGTCCTCTTGATCATCGCATAGCTCTGGATCGGCATCAGGCCGGGCAGGATGGGTATCGTCTTGAAGGCGCCGCTAGGGTGGTTCCTCAGTGTCGTTTCGAACTTTTCGTAGGCCTCGATATCGAAGAAGAGCTGCGTCATGATAAAGTCCGCTCCAGCCTGAACTTTGTCGACAAGGTACGGCAGGTCGTGTTCGAAGCTCTGGCCCTCGGGGTGGCTGCCGTCGCCGTGGCCCTCGGGATACGCGGCGACTCCAATGCAAAAGTAGCTGCCGTACTTCTTGCGGATATACTTGACGAGGTCGATGGCCCATGTAAACTCCTCCGAGGCTTCAGTCGGCTCGTCGGCGTCTCGGTACTCGGCGCGAGGCGGGTCTCCCCTCAGGGCCAGAATGTTGCGGATGCCCAGCGCTCTCGCGTCGTCCAGCGCCTGGTCAATCAGTGCCTGGCTCATGTTGGTGCATGTCAGGTGCAGGCAGGTCGTGAGGCCAAGCTCGCGCTGGCACAGCTCGGCAAGCTCGAGTGACTTTTGCGCTGTTGAGCCGCCGGCTCCCCAGGTGACGTTGACGAACAGAGGCCGCAGAGCCCTCTCCATTCGCTGCAGACGGACACGCAGGTTGGAGAAGCCCATCTGCGTCTTGGGAGGGAAGAACTCTAGAGAAAAGTACTCTGCGTCCGCCGGCAGCGCCGCAATCTTGTCGGTGATTCTGTCCATCTTTGCGATGTTGTGGTCGGCCTGGATCGATGTCGTTTTGCTGAGGAACTCCTGAGGTCGGTTCGAGAGCGAATATGAACACGGTTATACAACAACAAAGCTTCGGGATTCGAGAATTGAGGAGTTGGATCGATGGTCGTCGTCCTTGTCGAGCGCGTGACCGAATTTCTAACCGATGCTACGTTCGATGACGGCTCGATGGGGAGGTCCTGGTGAGAGTCTTCTTCTTAACGTCTGTTTGCCGGTCGGATCGCAGCAGCCGATTCCCGTTTGCAGTCCCCGATAGAGCTGCGAAGTGTCGCTGATTCAGCCAATTGAAATGCAATTCGATGCCCTGCAAGGCTCTGAGATGATGGCAAGCAAAGGTATCAGAAGCCCAGAGATTGGCGTCGGTTGACTCGCTGGCGAGACGATTCGGCGTGACAATAATACAGTATGAACAGGAGCAGAAAGTTTTGCGATGCCGCTGTCGCAAGCTGGCGGGGCAGCTGTCGGCACTGAGAGGCGGCTCGATGGCGGGGTTGCCCAGTCACGTCTGGTCAAGTCCGTTGTCGCTGGCGCCTCAGGGTTCGTTATCGCTATCGCGCTGGGCAACGCTCAACTATGACGCACGGGTCGACACCCGCTGGCCTGCAGGGGTCCGGCTGCTGTGTCTCAGCACCGGAGACCGCTGTAACCGGCTTTCCCACAGCACTGGTACAGCACTGGGGGGGGGGAAGCTCCGATAGCAAACGGCAGCGGTGGGGAAAAATAAAAAAGTCCGGCGATCTCTCCATCAGTATCGAACCATCCATTGACACACACACACACTCTCTCTCTCTCTCTCTCTCTCTCTTGTCTCTCGTACCATTGCCTCTGCTCAATTACACAGTCCGTTCACAGAGCTGTTCAGCACCGCAATATGACTGCACCATGATGCACATGCTTCGAGGAAGCCGTACGGGCCTCGCAAGAGCCGGCGTGGCCGCGTGCCGCCGATCTATAGCAGCTGGCGCAAATGGGGCGACAAACCGGCCGTCCGCCCTCACGAGACACGACCCGCGATATCTGGCCCGCAGATGGTACGCGGTGGACCTCGTTGGTCTGGACAAGAAATGGCGTCAGGTCTGGGAACAGAACCAGAGCCAGAAGCAGCAGAACCCTGCGAGTGGCGAGCGTCTTGCCACAGCAGCAGATGGCCAGAAGCACAGCTACATCTTGCCCATGTTTCCCTACCCGAGCGGCACCCTCCACCTTGGCCACCTGCGAGTCTACACCATTGCCGATGTCGTTGCTCGGTACCACACTCTCAAGGGCAACAAGGTGATGCTGCCAATGGGCTGGGATGCCTTTGGCCTGCCGGCGGAGAATGCCGCCCTTGAGAGAGGCGTGCCACCCGAGGGCTGGACAAAGAGCAACATCACCAAGATGAAGAGTCAACTTGGCTTGATGAATGGCAGCTGGGACTGGTCGCGGGTAAGCTCAATTTTGTTCATATAGCTGTTGAAGCTCGAACCGGGCTAAAAAGAGATGACCATCCTTAGGAATTGACGACGTGCGACCCAGAGTTCTACAAGCACACACAGAAGCTGTTTTTGATGCTCCACGAACGCGGCCTTGCATATCAAGCAGAGGCCGAGGTCAACTACGATCCGGTGGACAAGACAGTGCTGGCTAACGAACAGGTGGATGCCCACGGATTCTCATGGCGATCGGGCGCCAAGGTTGAGAAACGAAAATTGAAGCAATGGTTCTTTCGCATTTCAGAGTACAGCGAGGATCTCCTCAAGGGGCTAGATGACCTGGCCAAGGATGGCGCTTGGCCCGAGCATGTCATCTCACAGCAGAAAAACTGGCTGGGAAAGTCGACGGGCGCTCTGATCAAGTTCCCGCTCATCACTTTTGGCCACGAAGTTGAAGCTGCCCTCGAAGTGTTTACGACACGGCCCGACACCTTGTTCGGCGTACAGTATCTCGCCCTCGCTGCCGACCATCCCGTGGTGGCTCAGCTGGCACAACGCGATTCGGAGCTGCAGGCATTCCTCGACACCCTCCCTGGCCTCCCTCAAGACTCCAAGGTTGGATACATGCTGCCCTACATCCGCGGCATAAACCCTCTGGCTTTCCACGAGCACACTCCGGATGCTACCAAAGCATCGCTGCCCATCTATGTGGCACCGTATGTGTTGGGCGACTACGGCGAAGGAGCCGTCATGGGTGTGCCCGGCCACGACACGCGAGATCATGCCTTTTGGCGAGAGCACAATGTTGATGCGCCTGTTCGGATGGTGCTGAGCGCGTCCGAGGACGAGTCGACTACGGTGTTAGAGAACGAGCCATACGTAGAGCACGGCATCATGACGGAGCACAGCGGCATCTACAAGGGCAAGCACTCCAAGGAAGCGGGTCATATGATGGTCCGCATGCTTGAAGAGGCGAATCTCGCCAAGCCTGTTACCAAGTGGCGGCTAAGAGACTGGCTCATCAGCCGCCAGCGGTACTGGGGCACCCCCATACCCATCATACACTGCGATTCCTGCGGTGCTGTCCCTGTGCCAGACGAGCAACTGCCCGTTGTGCTGCCCAAGGTGGACAACCACTGGGCTCAGGGCAAGGCGGGCAATGCGCTGGAGTCGTCCCCCGAGTTTGTCGAGACCGAGTGTCCCAAGTGCCATGGCCCCGCTCGCAGAGACACCGATACCATGGACACCTTTGTCGACTCGAGCTGGTACTACGCCCGGTTCGCCGACCCTCACAACCCGGATCAGCTCTTGTCTGCCGAAGCGGCCAAGTCTCTGCCCGTGGACATTTACATTGGGGGCGTGGAGCATGCCATCCTTCACCTGCTGTACGCCCGCTTCATCTACAAGTTCCTGGCCACCACGCCTCTCCTTCCCCAGTACTCGGAGGAGGACGCTCTATCTGCGGAGCCATTCAAGCGCCTAATCACCCAAGGCATGGTCCATGGCAAGACTTACATCGATCCCGAGACGGGCAAGTTCCTCAAGCCGCACGAGGTGGACCTGTCAGACCCCTTGAAGCCCGTAGTCGTGGCCACAGGAGCCCCTGCGACGGTGGCGTTTGAGAAAATGTCAAAGTCGAAACACAACGGCGTCGACCCGACCGAGTTCACGTCCAAGTACGGCGTCGATCCCACACGGGCGCACATGCTCTTCCAGGCACCCGTGGCAGATGTCCTCAACTGGGACGAGCACAAGATTGCCGGCGTGACGCGCTGGCTGCAGAAGCTCCACGACCAAGTGGCCGCGCTGGCCAAGTCGCCAGAGGAGTCGGTGCCGGCCAAGGAATACTTTGCAACGCAAAAGCCGTCGCCGGACGACAAGGCGAAGCTGGCCAAGTGGGAATCCGAGATGGCGCTCTGGCGCGAGACGCAGAACAAGATCGAGTCCGTCACGCGGGGCTACGAAAAGATCTACCCGCTCAACGTCGTCGTGTCGGACCTCATGACGCTCACCAACGAGCTCGTCCAGCAGAAGCAGGCAGACCAGGGCATCAGGAGGCAGACGGCCGACGTCATCATCCGCCTCATGGCGCCCATCACGCCCGCGTTCGCAGAGGAATGCTGGAGCCTCCTCCACCCGTCCCGCGGCGGCTCCCTCTTCACGTCGGCCAGCTTCCCCGTGCAGGACGGCAGCCTGCCGATGCTCCAGGCGGAAAACATCAAGTGCGCCGTGCAGATCAACGGCAAGCTGCGGGCTACGGTGACGATCCCGCGCCCGCCGAGCGACTTGCAGGGCGACGCGCTGCGCGACTGGATGGTGGATGCGATCCTGGCGACGGAGGAGGGGAAGAGCCGGTTTGGCGAGGGTAAGTACAATGTGCGGCTGGCTAGGAGGACGATCCCCGTGGACGGGGGAAAGGTGATCAACTTTGTAATATAGAATAGCGCTTTTGAGAAGTGTATGATAGAACGGATACCCCCCCAAGTTTCCGTAGCTGCTGATAATAGAGACAACAAATGTTGTTCATGACATGGCTTAGTAGATTTCTACTGCAGAGATGGTGTGGAGTAAATCTTCAGCTGCCGCTCAGCTTGTGAGAACTCGTAGAAGCTGGGTAGGACACAGTCTAGCTTGTAATCAAAGATGGGGGAAAATGCTACGAAAAAAAAAAAACAAAAATCTCTACATCTAATCGCGATGCCTTCTATCCTCTTCGGGCAGAAGCCTCTGTTCCTCGTCGCTGTCCTCCTTGCCGCGGTAGAGAAGGTAGTGCTGGACAATGAAGATGGTGTCAAAGACCAAGCTGCAGTTGCCCAGCGCCAGCTTGACAGGGTTGCCCGTCACGCCGCTCCAGTCGTGCTGCAGGTAGCTGTCGATGCCGAGCTGCGCCAAGCTCAAGAGGCCGCCGATCAAGTCGAGCAGGATCTGCCAGATGCTCCAGCCGCGGGTGCTCTTGTTGCGGAAGTTTGCGAGGATCTGGGGCGAGTACTTGACGAGCGTGACGAGGAGCTTGACGTAGCCGACGGCGTAGACGATGTCGAGCTCGCACCAGTCGGTGGCCGGGTCCACGGAGGAAGAGGGCGTCGTCGTTGTCGTCGCGACGATGAGGCACGTGATGAGGACGCCGAGGGCGGAGCCGGCGATGATGCCGGTGACGAAGCGGCTGGGGCGGGTGCCGGGGCTGGGCTCGAAGCCCCAGAGGGGGCGGAGGAGGTACTGCGACGTGGTGATGAGGCTGAGGACGAGGGCGTGCAGCGCAAAGGTGATGTCGTTGAAGGCGACGGTCGGGGTCAAGCCGTTGTGGCGGGCGGCGTACTGGCTGCGGACGACGGGGGAGTAGTAGAAGGCGAGGTTGGAGACGAAGTAGGCGGCGAACCCTGGTTCAACGGGAGAGCAACATTGTAAGCGCGACACGTCCGTAAACTGTTGATTTGCAATGTCTTTTCACATGTTGGGCGATAGATAGATGGCGATCGATGAGGCGGCGCAGAGGAGATGGGGGGGAAAAGCGTACCGACGACGTTGATGGTGGGAAAGTCGGCCGTGGTGCCGGACGTGGACCGGCGCTGCCAGTTGAGCAGCGGCTGGGGGTAAAAGGAGAGGCTCCAGGCGAGTGTGTAGACCCAGCCGAAGAGGGCGGACAGCACAGGCAGGAAGGCGACCATGGTATTACTCTGGCCCTCTCCCCCCCGGGGCTTGGGTTTTGGTTCGTCAAGCTGGATGGTGTTGGGACTTTGGAAGGGCGGCCCGGAGTCCCAAGGGCGCAAGCCACAGCACAAACGTCCGGAACGGTCCGGGAGCGGCGAACTCCTGGGCGCTCGAAGGTTTCTCGGGAACGGAGGGAGGAGCTCGGGGTCGCCGAGCGCGGATGAGGCTTGGTGGGGGAGAGAGAAGGTGAGCTGAAGGGGGATGAAGTTGAAGTCGGTTGTCGTGAGATTTAGGTGAAGGGAGGGCGGAAGAATTGACAAGGGACTTGGGGGTCCCTTCGCAGGAGCAGGTACCGATGGCGGTTGCGCAGTATGGGGAGGTACTTTGTGTGCTGCGATGCGATGCGGTTGCGACCGGCAGGCGCGATTGCATCATTTGCTGGTTCAATGACCAAGAGCGTGCCCGAGGTTCTGGTACCCGTTTCATAGCAGTGGGTACCTGTTGTTTGCAGATGAAGCTAGGGCGATGGAAAGTCTCCAACAAGTGGGGAGGAGGTACCTATCGATAGGGAGTCTGTCACCGTCAGCAGCTGAATGGCCTAACCTACACTTCCTGAATCTGAAGAGGTTCGAGGACCAACTCAGGATAGTATTCAAATGATGCCACTTCTACGATGCCTCAGTCAGTGAATACGTAAGGAAAGAGGCCAAGATGCCGGATATCAGCAACTATTGCCCACTTTCAAGGTATTGCTGACGCCGTCCATGATGTCCTGTCATCTTGACGAAGCCATGCGTTTCGAGGCTACAGGGCTAGATAAGGTAACCTATGTACTGTCAGCTTCAACACGAGATCCGACGTGGCTTGTCCCAATATTCCCGAAGACGAGCAGACATTACCGTCATAATCCCGGCCGCCAGATTCTCGCCTGAGAGACGATCCAGGCAAGCCAGGGGGTCTACAGTACCTACACGGCAGTCCGTGTCGACAGCTTCAGCTCCAGCTGACGTGCCGTGGCTCATCAGACAAAGCCGGCAACGGCTGCCATCATCGCCATGCCATCGGCAATTGCCATCGCCGCCGTGTCAAGACCCCCTTCGAGTCATTCATACAATGCGAAGCCGGCTCCCATCGTCCGCCCGACAATGCCGGACACCGTCTTTCGGAATCGGATCGAGGAGATTTCGTTGTGCCCTGGTATGACACACGCTCCATGCGACCAGGACCAGCGTTGCCATGGCAGAGATGAAAAGAAAAAAAAAAAAAAAAAAAAAAAAAACAGATTGGGGAAGAAAGATATCGAAACCCCTTTTTTCAATATCCTCGGCAGCTTCAAACGTCATGCATGCATGGCACATTGCGCGTTTGCCATTCCGACGATCCACGCTTGCCACCGTCCCTGGTCGGTTCTACTATGTCGTTATGTACTGACCACTCCCGAGATATTCGCTATCAAGCATCGACCAGGGGGGGGGGAAGGGAATAAATGGTGTGAGGCTTGGCGTGATCGGACGACGGACAGTCTGGCAGATGCAGCAGATTGCACCACTTTTGATGTGGCTTGATGGACCGCTAATGAACAGCTGAGTCAACGATCCCGGCAGCTTCGTCGATGCTGGTACACGTATTCTGTGCCATGACCATTATTCGTCCCTATCAGCCAACGAACAAGGCTCTATCCGTACCAGGGACGCGGCAATGGGGCTTCCTCGGACATGTCCAACGAATGAGGGTTCGTGAAGCTGCCTCTCGCCTCACCTACCTAGTACCTATGGGCAGGCATTCGCTTCTCGGCTGTCAATTCCGGTGGTAGGCCTGCTGCATGCAGTACCTTATGTATTGGTTGTATTAGCACTGCTTGTTGCTTCTGGCAAGTCTTGGATCCAATGCCTCGGGAATCTGCTGTGGCTTTGGTGGCTGCCTGAGACTTGAATGACGACGCAGCAATTCTCCATCAGGGCAACTCACAATTCAATTTGACCGCAGTCTTGCAGCTGCCAACATATAGAATGCAGATGCGACCGAAATAAAGCCGTCCAGTACGGCAGGACTCGCTGCTTCATGTCGTTGCTGATGCTCTCTCTCTATCACTCCCGGGTGTCTGGTGCCGGGTGACGGCACTAAGGATCAAAGAGCGTGAGCTTACATGAGAGCGAGAGAAGTGAAACAAACCAGACTCTTGATACGGCTTGTGAGCAAGTGACGCCGTATCAAGTCAGCAGTAAAACACCACTAACGGGCTCGACTCAGATCTTAGATTGCGTCTCAAGTCAGCAAGTCCTAAACTCTAAGGCAGTATCAGCTTCAACACATTCGATAAACCCCCCCAACGGCAGCAGACGGGCCATCAACACCATCATCACAGCGTCAAACTTGCCGTCTTCGCTTCCAGAACCTATCAAACAGCGTCCATCAGCCACTTCTCCAGCGTCAGAATCGGGCCAGGCTCAAGCAGCAGCATGTCAGTCACCCGCATATGCCGCTAACGCACATGTAAACAACATCCGACAGCCAGCCTCGTAAAACACCAACAAAAAACCAAAAAAAAACAACGCCACTTCCGTCTATGCCCATAAAAAAAAAAAAAAAACATGCAATCCGCCCACAAACGGCCGGTCCGAACCCATGAATCCATTCAGCGCTTTTGATACTATCTTTGCCCTCTTGTACTAATACCGAATGACGTGCCCCTTGTTGTCCAATCCGAATGCATTGGGCCTGAATCATCCCCCCTTATTGTGTATCATTGTAACAGACACCCTTGGATTTATTCCCTCTTTCAATCGTAAGGTAGCAGTCGTATCTTTTTTTTTGCATTTACCTCGGAACTTTTTCCATTGGCTGACCAGCCCTCTTTCTCTCTCTCTCTCTCTCTCTCTCTTCCTCTAGTGCCGTCATCAACTTAGCCGGAAAAGAGGGTGTGCATCCCCTTTTGGTTGCTCTGCTGCTTTCTTTCCATAATTATTACCGGATTTTGCCTCCACAGGGTTGAGCGTATTCTCTCATGGATTTAAAACTCGATTTATTATTATGTTATTCTCCTAGTGGAGTCCGATGTGCGGCAAGGCTAAACTCTATCGCTGCTTGCTCGGTATCATCTGCTGGGAGGTGAGGTGAGAGGTAGTTAAGAAGTGAGAGGACCTAGGTGAAGTGGTTTTGCTTTAAATATAAGCTGTGTCTGCCCTCCTCCTCCCCCCCTTACGCCTCTCTCTCCCTCGTAGTATATTCTTGAAATCTTCAGACCATATCAGAAGCAATTCAGTTGTTATATATCCATTTTTTGTCTCTCATACGTGGATAGCAACATCTTGTGCCAAACAAATCTCGACTACACCCCGTTCGTCACCACAACAGAGTCTCGGCATCACCACCAACAAAGTCCACTTACACCGACTTACACGATGAGCCACCTCGCCTACTTTGAAGCCCTCCACCACAATCCGCCCGAAGCCGTCTCAACAATGCCATCGACACAGCCAATACCATCATCATCACCGACATCAACAACAACATCAACAACAACACCAAAAGTCGGCTTCATGTCCCTCCCCCTGGAACTCCGCTTCCAAATCTACGCCCACCTCCTCACCATCCCTCCCACCTCCTCCTCCTCCTCCTCCTCCACCTCTTCAAAATCATCACCACCACCCTCTTCTTCCCACGCCGCCGCCCTCTCCGCCACCCAGCCGTCCCCCCGCGAGCCCTCCCACGTCCACCCAGCAATCCTCCTCGCCAACCGCCAAATCAACTGGGAAGCCACCCCCTTCCTCTACTCCTCCAACATCTTCGTCGCCCACCCGTCCCTGCTGACGGCCTTCCCCCGGCTACGCAACTGGTACCCTCCCCTCCGCGAGGCGAAAACCCTCGTGCCCCTCATCCGGAGGTTCCACATCCAGGTCCGCCTCGACTTGCCTCTGCCGTTCGATCGCGAAAGGGCAAGGGACGCCTTCTCGGGCCTGGACGAGCTCTCGGTCGATGTCGTCCAGGCCATGTTCCTCGGCGTCGACTGTGCCAATTTGGCCGTCTTCGAGGCCGTGCGCGGCGTCAAGAGGGTCAGGTTCGGGGGCAGCACCACCGGCTTCGAGGACTATCTTGCTTGGCTGGTGGGCGCCATGACGAGTCCTGTCGGGACGGAGGTTGTGCCTTTTGAGCCCGTGTGCGAATCGCCGTGGGCACATCTCTGGAGGGGACATACGAATCTCGTCAGGTCGGCGGCGGTTCAGGTTGAGAAACAGGAGTGAGAAGAGCGTATGTGCCTGCTTGCCCAAGGTATGTCGACTTTTATCTTTACACGGTTCCGTTCCATCACTTCACTGGCTTCAAAAGCGGCTGACATGGGCTGAGAATCAGGAGCAGAGGCAAGCAAAAGACCGTTCTTGTTGTTGTTGTTGTTGCGCCAACGACTATATATCTCTACACCATTCTAATGTCAAAACACACCACATTGAAATCGAGGCATTGCGGGGACCATTTCCCTTCAAACGCCCTCTCCCCCCCTTTTCTTTAATCTTGACTATGCCAACCCGTCTAGTCCGTCTAGATCTAAAGGTCATCTCATACATTCGACAAGGGAACACAATAAAGGAAATGATATATCAAAGACAGAAACCAAACAAGTCACACAACAAGCGTCATGCCCGCCTTCTTCGCAAGGTGTATCCTTTTCTTTTCTTTTCCATAGTTCTCTCTTCTATATCCTCATCTTTCGTCATTCTTCTCTTTTCCTTTGGGGGAACAAACGGTTTGAGGTATACGGGTCTGGGTTCGGGCTAATAGAAGGAAGAAAGAAACAAAAAGTGATAATGGTAGAAGGATTAACACAATAGAAAGCAAGTATACAAACAGCTCGCCCCCTTTTTTGTGTGTTCGCAAGATACCTAGCAACCCAAAACGCCTATTCTGATGCATCGTATCAACGGAGAGAAACCTGACATTGCTTCCCTCGCACGGTAGGATTCGACGATGCACGTCTCTCGTTTTCTTTTTTTCTGATCTCTTTCATTGTCCCCATTCGGACGTTCCACCGTCGCGTCCTCTTTTTTCTTACCCTTCTCTTCTTTGATCATGCTGCTTGGCCACCACCGCCCATCATCCTAGGCAGCGACTTCCATCCCTTCTCGTTGGGCATCTTGATCTTGCCAAAGTCCTCGTCGAGGTCGAGGATGATCTTGAGCGCGTTGCGGCTGCGGGCAAAGTGGCTCGAGTCTTTCTTGTGCGTCAGGGAAGTCAGAGCATCCGGCATGCCGACGTGCACCTTCTCCTTGTGTCCCGATCCGGGCATGGGCAGCAGGGTCTGAAGGACCTCGTACGCGGCAAGAGTGAAACCGAACTGGGGCGATGATCGGAAGATACGAGCCGGGCCGCCCTTGAAGAAGGCCGTGAAGCCCTCCTCCTTCCAGATGGTCTTGGCGCAGTGTCGCAGTCCGTTGTAGGTCGCCTCACCCTTACGAGCTTCGACCTGGAGACGGGTCTTGATGACGTCGCACGGCGTCGTCAGGTAGGCAGCAGGCATACCGGCAATGGCACCGGCAGTCAGGAGCTGCAAGACGCCGAGCTTCTTGGTCGCCGACTCGCCAAAGAAGTCCTTCTTGAGATGGCTGTACGTGGGGAAATAGATGGCCGAAAAGGGCACGTCTCGCAGCAGACAGGCCGATGCGCCCTTGTACAGGCCCACGAGACCAAGGTTGCGGACGATCCACATGGCGGACCTCTTCGGTGTGCCCTCGACAGTCTTGGCGACTTCGCCCTGGATCTGGAGACGAATCTTGACAATCTCAAGAGGGTTGGTGAACACCTATATGAAACGAAAAAGCTTCTGGTTAGGCACATGTTTTACCCAGAGCATCATGATATGATGGTAGTGAAGAGGGATCGGGGACAGAAGCGTAACAACTTACCACTTGACAACCACCGGCCGTGCCACCAGCGACAATCTCGGCCCACAGGGGAATCTTTCCTTGCTTGTCAGTCAAGCGGCCGCGCACCAGATCGTTGACGGTCAGCTTGATGGCCTTTTCCGGCGCGACTCCCACCAGCTGGGGCAGAACGCCAGAGTACAGACCGCGGACGCCCTCGTTGCGCACTACTTTCTGGAAGCAGTCGATAGAGTTCTTGTAGAGGCGCTGTCCGGGCTGCGCTCCGCGCTGGTTCTGCAGGCGCGTCTTGACAAGGTCAATGGGGTACACCATAAAGGCACCAAAGGCGCCGGCCAAACTGCCCAGGCCAAAGTTGTACGCCGACTCGGCGGCTTGTCGCAAGACGGCGCCACCCGTGGAGGCGGCCTTTCCGACCGTCTGGCTGGCCGTGTCCAGGACGTCGTACATGGGGTTGCGCCATGAAGGATCCAGGACCTTGGCAAAGTCGCGGAGACCCAGGCGGCCGGACGGCTCGTCCAGGCTGGCAAAGTGGAAGAGGATGTCGGCCTCCATGGGGGTGAAGAGCGAGAAGCGCGTGATGCCGGCGGCCTCGTTCATGAACTCGGACCTCGTAATCTTGCCGTCCTTGGTCTTGGAAACGGCGCGGCGCAAGATCAACTCGACCAGATCCATTTCCATAATCATGTTCTGGAAGGCCCGCACGTTGGCGTACGAGACCTTGCTGCTAGCCGAGATGTTGCACAAGGTGTGCAGGTTGTTGAGCAGATGGTCAGACAGCTTGTGCCTCGACGTCTCGCGAATGATTCGCTCAAAGTCCTCGGGGTTGATGTAACCGTCGCCATCCTTGTCGAAGCGCTGGAAGGCTTGTCGAATGCGCTCGCCCTGGAGGCCGCGCAGCATCTGCGAAAACTGCGCATAGTTGAGGTGGTGTCGGTTCTTCTTGCCGCCAGTGTACAGCTTGGCCCATTCGCAGTCCCAGTCAAAGGGGATGTTGTCGGGGCCCTTGTTGAGCTCGTAGAGGCGCTTGAAGTCTTCGTACTTGACGATTCCGTCGCGGTCGACGTCGAACAAGCGAAAGGCGATCTCGTACTCGGCATCGGGCTTGTTGAGGAGGTTCTCGAAAACGCTCCAATCCGTCAACGAGACTCGGCCGGTGCCTTTGCTGTCCGCGACGCCAAAGAGGATGGAGTACTGTTCCCGCTTGATCTTGTGCTGTTCATGTGCGATACCTGGTTAGTCACTGGGCCCGCAACTGCACCGATATGACTCCGATCTCAGAAGAGACAGAAAAAGAAAGACCGAAGGTAGAGTCTCTGAAAAAGTAAGAGGGGAAAAAGGGGGGGAGAGGAGCAGAATGGTATGAAAGACAAGAGTCTCAGACTCAATGGCAGACTCACATAGTCCTCGTCCTTGGGCGCAATGGCGTCGATGAACTGGTCAGGCCCCAGGTACAACTCGCCCGTCTGAGGGTCCTTGATCGCATGGCTGTTGAAGCGAGCCTTGGTTTGCGCCGAGAGCTGCGCAGGCTCCTCGACGCCCACCAGGCTCTCCTTGACAGCTTCCTTGACGGTTGAAACGCCCGACATCTTGAGGGGGGAAGACAACAAAGAGGACAAGCCCGACGCTTCTCTGATCTCGGGGAGAGCAGCAGGAGGAGGAAGTGCCAGCGGGGAAAGACACAGAGAGGAGCAGCAAAAAGTTGTTGGCTTCTTTGTGACTGTGGAGGAAGAAACGGCGAGGCTGTGGAGCTGCGTGGGAAAATCGGGGCCTCGCAGGGGGGGGGAGAAAGGAAAAAGGCGCCAAAGAAAAGAGGAAACGCAAGACAAGAAAATATGCCGGAGACGCCCCTCTAGTAGCACGGAATCCCCTCTAGTATCTGTAAGTCTAGGTCTATAAGGTAGGAAATGAATGAAGAAGGAAAACGAAAAGGAAAAAGGACGTTAGCACGTCACAAGGAGAGGAGAAAGAGAAGGGATTCTTGTCCAGACTGGGAGAAGGAGAGGGAAGAGAGAGAGAAGAAAAAAAGTTGGCTGCTGCTAAAAAAAAAAAAAAATATATTGACAGTCACTCCTTGTCGAATCAATTGGATGGGCGGCTGCAAGGTTTTTGGCGGAAATGCCACCCGTTTGCTGGTGCAAGTTCCCGGTACTGTGTGCGCCATCCTGTCGTGCCCCTGGCGCACCGTCGCGAAACTGTCTCCTGTAGCGGTACATGGGATTGGAAGGCTGCTCAATCTTACAGCGGTCAGAAGACCCTGAGGCGACGGGTTGCCGGGTTTGTTTGTACGCCACGTGAGCATCAGAGAAGCGGCAGCCAGGTATTGTGTACCTCTCGGTGGGAGGGTCGGAGTATCTGTACTTTTTGACTCAGCACCTCCGATCGTTGCCAGGTATTCGGATCTTGCAGCTGATTGGTACCTATCACAAGAAGGATGGAAGCCTTGAAAACCACCCACATGTGATGGCTCTGAGGCATTAAAGCATTCAACAATTGCTATCACGAGTGCTGCGAGAACAAGCGAGACCAACAGAACGCATACTATTCGCAAGCCGGACGAGCCGCGCTCTGCATGGTATGTATCACGCCGCGATCGCAAATCTCCTCCTCCGTGCCTCCGTCCATGCATATCGGGACGGCTGACATCAGATCCCGCGGCCCTTTCCATCCAAGACTCTGTCGTGTCTCTACCCAAAACATATCCCGCCTCCCAGAATAGCTCTCCTATTCGAGGAGGAAGAACCATCAAAATCATATGGGAAATAGCTGATATCTACAGTCCCTTCATACGTGTTTTACTCCGGACATGCTCCGTAATTGTCCAATTGCAGCGCCTAAACGGCGTCCCATATTGCATCAAATCTCCCAGGTCCATTCGCACTAGCAGCCTGCAAATCTGGGGTCGGAGCCAGTCGGAGATGATTCGGCCAGCCCACCAGCAAGGTCCCAACTTACTATTAGTAGTACCTACTACCTACTTACCTACCTGTCCCCTACGTACAGCACCTAGGATTGTAGGTAGGCGACCTCAATCCACTCAATGACAGTCGACTTCAGTTGCTGTCCAGCTTCCAGCGTGGTGAATCAGGTAATACAGCAAGGTTTAGTACGGACCATCAGACAAACCGTGCACTGTGTAGAGATCCAAACTTGTGCACAGTGCAAGTACAGGTACCTCTCCGTTGGAAGAGGCGAAAATGACAGCCTTGCCTTGCCTGGAACAGCAGCTCCGTCTTCTAGAAGAGCAATTTTTGCTTCTCCGCCGCCACTCGGGCCGTGGTAGCTCAGGGTCTAGGAAGGTACTCGTACTCGTACCTCGCCTCAGACGAAAACCCCAACGTTGAAGGCAATGCCTTACTATTAGTCAACCTGCTTCCTCAGACTCTTCCGATGGAAATCTCAGGTACCTTGCTAATGTAGGTACCTAAGGTAGTCTCTATACTTGCCCGCATTCTTGCTGCTATTGAGCCTCCGACTCGCCATTCAACATCAATCATCACAAGAGTCAGTACTTGCCCATGGAGAAGCGTAGCCTGGTCAATGGCTCCGGCATGTCCCGAAGCCCCAGAGTCCCTGCTCGCATAAACGGTGAAATGGGCGGTCAGCAACACGACATCCTCAAGCACGAAAGATGAAGACGAAGCACGCTGCTTGCGCTACAGACGCAGCCTGCATGACCAGCCCGCCATCTTCCGTCGACTCGTCAAGCAGTCAAAATAGAGAAGAGCAAGTAAAGGGAAAAAAAGGGGGGGATCCATAAGGTAATGCCCAAATAAATAACGGGGCGATATTAGTCCATACAGCTTTCTTCAGTGTGGTATTATCAAGTCCAGAACCATTTCCCTTGCCATGGCAAAAGCACATTGCCCTTCCTGGTGCGCCATGCCGACCTTCCCTTTCGCCCGGTTTGCTCTCCCTTTTGGTTGCCTCAAGCCCAGATCCCGGCTCCCCTTCCCCCCTCCAGCGCCTGCGTGGTATATCAGAGTCCAGTTCCATTACCGCCATTTCCAGAGCAAAGCCGCCAACGCCAGACAGTAAAAACACGATACAAATCAAGAAGAGGAAAGACAACAAAAAAACCACAAGGGGAAAAAAGGGAAAAGACGATCCTCGTCGAGAATGTAATTAGGCGTCATGGGCTTCGTAGATTGCCTGCAATCCCCGAAGGGGAACAAGAAAAGTGCATTCGTCAGGACCGAGTGCAGAGACGATCCGGTCCAAGAAAGAGAACAGGGAGCATTAAGCATTCGCGTCTCTCCGTGGGGGGGGGGGGGGGGGGGGGTGTTGGTGTCGTGTAATTGCCACTCGTAGAGCTCTCAAGGCAAGGGCCACGAGAAGGCAGTACCACAACGGGTATCATAGTAAACGAATTGTTGGAATGGCCGACTCTCACGATTCTATGGGAATGAGAAGACTGCCATATTGCAGTTCGGTGGCACTCGGGAGGCGAGGCTGTAGGCGACGAACGGGCATCGTGTGGTGCGGGAGCGTGAAGCCGGCGTCGAGCGCACGCTGGACCTGAGTTGAGACCTCCTTGAACCTCTTCTCTCGGTACTTTTCAAAAACGGCGGCGTGATGCTTGTGCGGGTTTTCGCAACATTCAATCATCATGGTCACCAGCGATCTGAGCTGGCTCCATGTGTATCCCGAGTAGTGAACGTGCCGCTTGGTCTATGAGATGTTGGTCAGCGATCCATACATGGGTCAACATCAGGTCAAGGGAACATGTTAAGGACTCACCCATTCGCCCTTGTTCAGAATGAGTCTGGAGAGGCAATGCGCGCCGGCCGCGAGGAAGCTCGGAGGCGAGGCCACAAAGCGCTCATCCATAATGGTGAGTTCCAAAAAGTATTTAGCCAAAGTTCGAGTGTCGAGGTCGTAGTCGTCGGCCTTGCTGACTCGTCGCAAGAAACTCATGGGGCCGGGCCATCCCAGCTCGAACCCCAGCATGCTGAGCATGAAGCGCTCCGCCTTGAGGATATCCTCTGTTGTGTAGCCGCCGTCCACCATGTAGACAATCTCGTCCAGCGAGGGGCAGTTGATTTCCTCATACTTGGACGCGACCAAGATGGCCGTAGCCCCCACCAGCTGCAGCTTTCCAATGGAAACAATCTTGCAAGAGAGGAACCGATCAATGTAGTTGACGGTCAGGAAAAGGGTCTCGGGCAAGAGGTTGAAGCGGTGGTGCACCTGCACCAGCCAATCCATCAGGACGGTCCGCATGGACCACTGGATCTCGGACTGCATCTCCATATAATAAGGGTTAGGTAGCATCTTAATCTGCGAGCGAGAGAACAAAAGTTAGCAACTACTGGGCAGTTCGGAGCACAGCGGACTGCAAGGATTGCTCACCTCCAATTCTCTCATATACTCAAAAATCTCCTCGCCGTACTCGGCAACCATGCTGACATCCCACATCTCCTCGTCGATTTCCTCGGGGGTGATGGTCTGCTCCACTTCGATTCTAGCCTCGTCCAGTTCACGCTGCACACGGCTGGACACTCGTGGGGCGATGATCGCCGTGGCGTTGGCCAGTGTCATGTCGCGGGAACGAGTCGAGTGGGCGGTTGTGTACCCCTGGTCTTGGTCGTCATACTCGTCGTCCTCTTCTTCCCAGTATTCTTCGACCTCGGAGAGTGCGAGTGTGGCGTTTTCCTTGTAAGGCTCAACGTTGACGGCGACGGCGGGCTCCTCGGAGGCGTTTGAAAGCCTGGGCACAATCTCGGCATAGCCATCACCGTGATTCACGTCGTCCGCACACGAGGGCTCCTCGGACGGGAAGGTGAGCGACTCCAGCGAGTCCAGATACGATTCGTCGCCGGTTAAAAAATCCTCCACAAGAGGCGGCAACGCCAGAGGCTCGACATCGGCCGTAACGAGCGTCGGCTTATTGGAGGCGCCGTCGAACTTTTCCATCTTGCTCTGCGTTCGTCGTAGTGTTGGCTGTTGCTGCTTGAGCTGCGGCTGGCTTTTGTGGTGACGAGGTTGCAGGGAGTGCGCCTCGGGGGCAGCGCGAGACGTCGAGTTGTTCTTCTGCTGTGGCAGCGCATTGCTCGTGGCGACGCTGTTTTGCAGCTGGAGGATATCAATGTCGAGCTTATAAGCGGACTCTTGCGCGGGAACGTTTGCGGGCTTCTTCTGCAGAGGCTCTGCACGGGCTTCGGTCGTCGACGCCTTGGGCTTGTTTGCTGTCAGGCCTGTGGGTCGCTGTGCAGGCCGAGACAGGTCGACTTTGCCGGGCTTCATTGCGTTTTCCTTGTTCAGGATGGATACGGGGGCGAGATTCGTAGACACGATGGCCGCCTTTTTGGTGCCCCTGGCCTCGTCGCCACGTGCTCCCAGCACCTTGGACACGTTCGTCACGTCGCCAAAGGCAGCCCGTTTGGCAGGGCCCTTGAGCCCAGCCGTAGGAGCAGCCAGGGCGCCGCCGCCGGTTGCCATCATCATCTTGTGCCGCTGGTGAGAAAGGGGCTGCATGTTCTCGCTGCCGCGCGGTCGAAAAGGCTAGAGGATGAAGACGCAGTCAGTCTATCTGGTCATGCAGAGCAAAGTCATGAGATATCTCGGCGGCAAGGTAGTCAGGGTAGAAAGGGGAGGGGCAGTGTCATCGTCAAACAACAGCACAGCATCAAGAGAGCGCAGAAGCGTGTGAAGACAAGGGGGGGGTTATTTGCCCATCTCGCTCTGTTTCAACATACCCGTGCGTCCATGTTGGAGATGGGCCGTCTAAGCTTTGCTTCCTAGGCCTTAAAGATGATATACACTGATCTGGTAGGATGCGCGAATAACGTTATGCGAGTCCAGGCGCAGAGAGGCACCGCAGCCTTGTCGTGACGGATCCGCGTCAAGATATCATACAGCAGAGTTCTGCGAGGCGGCGTGTCCTCAAGAGCCCGAGATCCCAGAGAGGCGCACTTCGGAGAGGACGGAGTCCAGGGATTACCAGGACAAAATTAGACGGTGACGTTGAATCACGCCAAAGCGAGGGACCCCCGAACGCAGCCTTGGCTTTCGATCATACAGCGTGCAGAGTTTGAGAAAGAAGAGAAGAAAGAAGAAGAAAGAAAGGGGGCGAGGCTGATGGTTATTTCGTACAGATGGCGACAAGAAAAAAAAAGAAAGAAAAAAGAAAAGAAAACAAGACGATGCGGACGTTCTGGCAAGAGAAGGAGAAAAGAGGCCCGAGCTGGGAAAAGATGCTGCTCTCGTCCGTCGTGTGGCCCTGGTCCGTCAAATTCCCCTCAGCTGCAGAGAAGGTGCAAGGTGGAAATTGGCGATAGTAGTAGCGACAAGGACGGAGACGATGCGCCAGTACAAGTACCAGGTCCGGGGAGCGGCTGCAGGCAGCGAACAGGCGATGCGCCGCTTGGGAGGAGACAGAGGCGATCGTCAGTGGGAATGGCGCGGCTTGGAGGTTGGGGGGAGGCCCTGGAATCTGGATCTGGCGGCCGTAATTTTAATCGACGGGCAGCGCTCGTGGTGTGTAATTTTCAATGTTTATTTGTTTATCTCCAAGCGCTGCAGACGCTTTAGGTACTTTAGTACCTAGCGCAGTTGAGTCGGTCGGTAAGGTACGTACCGGAGCTGTGGCAGAGCTTCGACTCGAAGGTGCCGCGGGTTTGGAGGGGCGCCGGCATGTGCGCACGGGCCATCCTGCGAACAGGTCGCGTCAAGCTGGCCTGTCGTCCCGGAGATGACGATATTCCGGGGGGGCTTCGTTGCCGTTGGCTGGCGGGAGCCGTTGCCCGTAGCACGAACGAGGCTGGGGGAACGTTCCGCCGGGCCGCTAGTCTGCTTGCGGATGCCGGGCGATCTTGTCGCGTCTCACTTGACATGGCAAAGAGTCGCAGAGTTTCACTTTTGCGCACCTGCTGCGGCGCCGATGGGCTGCGAGGGCGTCTGTTTCATGTTGAGAGCAGGCAGAATGCACAGCAATGGTCGCCGGGGCTTTCGCTCACCGAAATCTTGGTCCAACGGCGAGATTGCAGCCGGCGCAACCAGGCGCCTTAGACGCGTTGGCGCTGTCGGGGGAAATTGCGCCAGGCCAACACGTCCTCACGTGACGAGGCGCGGCCACTTTACCGGCTGCCTTGCTCCGGCTCCCAGCTTCCAACCTTCTCCACTCCAGACGGAATTGAGACAGGACCTGAACATGCCGCAGGCAAGGGAGGCGCATGCTGGCGATGAGGAACGAGAGGGACGCTCGCTCGCGTCAGCGCTGGGCTCGCGATCAAAGACATGTCTCGAAGCACAGCGGCCGCCTCCTGCTGGCCGGTCTCCGTTGCGACGCCCCCGTGTCCCTGTGCTTCTTATGGTCAGCTCGGCTGTTAAAGTTGCAAGCTAACTGAGCTACTGGGAACAGGCGATAGACCTTCCGGCCAGGCCGCGTCGTCCATAATGGATAATCTGTCGCAATTCCCCATGCGAGCAATCTGCGCCTGAGGGGCTGGGAAATCATGGGAATCCGGGCGGAACGCGATGGAGCGCAGCAGCGAAGGGAGAGGCGACGGTGATCCTTTGCCGCAGCAATCGCATCGCAGGGGCCGTGGAACTGATGGATATCGGGCCTCATCGCAGACGACGGAATGCGATTTATTATCTTCTTCGTCCAGCCTCTCTCGCGCAAGGTTGCACTAGCTGACCCAGCTTTTTGCGTTGGCCATCCCGCTTCAGCCACGATTCCCTCCGTTCCGGACTTCTGCGCGCGTTGAACTTAATGTGCCGCAACTGCTGTGTGAGCGGCCTGTTGCTGCGCGGTGTCGAGTCGCCTTTTGTTGAACTGGTGCGCCCGGCGCAAGTACTTACTTGTCTGGACATTGTCGCTGCGCATTCATCAGCTTCGATGTTCAGATGTTTTGTTCGGCAGTCAGTCGCAAAGACCTGAGAGAGGGTCTCGCACAACCCACAACCTCGATCTCGCCCATTTCGACAAGTTGACATGTGCTTCTCGTCATTGATGCTGCATTCCAAGTTTTGGTTCTCCCTTGCGATGCGAATCGGCGTTGGGTTCATTTCTCATGCGAACCTTGACGACATGATATCACATCTGACCCGTTCCATCTCGCCACCGTGAACTAGGCCTGCTGCTCTGTGCTCCGTACCTTGGACACTGCTGGGACCAACAATCTCCCATTCCCGCATGCCCTGACGGCCACCAACGGCATCATGTCACCTCGAGTTTCAAATCTACTTGTACGTTGAAATTAGCCACTCGACGATCCATCATCAGCGACGGACAGGGCTCGGTCAGGAAAGCCAGCGCTTCAACAGACCAGCCCTGTACTGTACATAGCAGCGATCGCAGCCTTTTACTATGCGCGCGCCGATCCGACCGCGCATGGTTTGCTTTTTCCTTCTTGTTTCGAAGCTATGCTAGTGTCACCGGCGCCACAATGCTGAGTTCAACGATGGTGCACTTGTACAGAAGGTATAGTAGTAGATACCGCAACGGCTCTGCGATGCGCGCCTCTCAGAAGCTGTCGGTACGCCTCCAGCCCAGGAACATTCGTGCGACACCGCATGTGTCCTTCGTACCCGAATCCGTACCAGTCTCCGTATCGGCATGTAGGTATGTACGTGCAAGTGATAGACTCAAGGAAGACGAGGGAGGAGAAGGGGTCCTCGTACAGGCTGGCTGCGAAGAGAGAGTGAGTGCATGGCGGCGACGAAGTGCGCCATTCGTTGGGCCGAAGCAGAAAAGGGCCATCCCATCATCACTCGCATGGCCGCCAGAATACTAACAACGCACACACGAGCCCACACACCGCAGCCGTTGAGTCGCAGGGCGAGCTTTCATTGGTAGGCTTCTCTGCACGCATTATCCGGTCTGGGGCACAAATGCAGGCGATCACAGACTTTGGCCACTGCCGCAAGGCACACACACAGGAGGAGGAGGAGAATGGGATCCAGCAAGCCGCTTGCTGTCCCGTCGATTGCTGGTCCGATGCCTGGGGAGGGGGAAGCCAGCCGTCGCGGCGCTGATTCGGCACGCATCTTGTCCGCCCAACTGTGTATCCACCAGCCTCTCAGCGCATGCATCCACGCTTGCGCGGGGAGAGGAGGAGACAAAGCGGTGACGAGAGGAGGAAGACGGCGAGGGGAACGGCGGCTCTGCTCGTACTGTGCGGCCGTGATGCGACGACGCTCACCCTAGACCTATCCGAGGAGCAGTGGTCGAGTCCACAGTACGGATTGGCACCCTTGGAACGCCTGGTGAGTGCCTTCGCATCAAAGTCTTCATGAGGGATCTTGGGACGAGACGACGCTCGATCACCAGAACCAGCCAGCGTGACAGATAGGCAACCAGTCAGACACTCAGCAATCTCACCACTGCCTTCCCCCTGGTTGCGCTGTTGTGGAAAAGCAGCAAAGGCCAAGGAGCAACCCAGGAGTCGGACAAGAGAACGCACGCCGGTTGCAGAAGACTGCCAGTCCCAGCACGGACATCCGCCTGCCTGCCTGCCTGCCTGCGTGCTGCCCGACCCTCGATGCCAACCCAACGAGTTTCCGCGCACAAGCACGAAGCAGCCTTGGAAGATGATACGTATGTGGACGCCTCGCAAGCCAGAGAAGCCTGCAGAATCCTCCCCGACTGGACACTGAAACCCGGGGACCCATGGGCGAAGACATGGTCTGCGACCTAGCGGCAAGCAGCCTGTGCCACGGGAGACGATTGGATTGGACGTCTGTATCTGCACGAAGCAGCTGGTCCTGCCCTTTGCCGTCCTCTTGTCCTATCTTTGGGATTATTTTCCTTTCCTCTCCCTCTTTCCTTGGTGAACCACCCTCACCAAATAAGATGACCCCCAAATAAAATGACCTCCAAGGACCCAAGGCGGAAAGAAGAGGGGAAATGGGGGGAAAGCGCGCAAGAGAAGCAAAGAAATGAAAGGGAGAATGAGCAGGTCAAAGATGTGAAAGGGGACAAAAGGTCAATTAGTACCTACATACATAGGTAGCCTGGTGTTAGCCAAGCCACGCATAACGCTGGCCGCGACTTTCGCCTTTCTCCCCTCCCAGCGCAGCCAGCGATCCAACCAGAGGCTGACAATTGACGGGCCACGGAGCTGGAGCAAACATTGGACGGCTGCTCGCTGGGTTGCCCTTTTCCCCTCCCCTCTCTCCTCTCCCCCAATTTGGGAGAAGAGTTCAGGTCGATCTTTGCGACGACAGGGAAAGAGGACTTGGGCTTGGTGACGAGGGGCTGTCAGGCACACCTTTCTCTTCGCCTTGATCGAGTTTCGCGGTGGATCACGAAGATGATGGCAAAGGAGAAGCGACTTGCGAAATCCTCCAGATGACACGCTTGCTTGGGCTCGACAGATGCCTCTCTGCAACGAGCATCAGACGAAGCAAGCAAGCTCGCGCGGGGGTGATGGATGGATTGAATCTCTGGTCAATGGCCTCGACGGCTCAAGCTCGCAGGCTGAACCACCTGTTCTCGAATTCATCCTCATCTCAAGCTCGTTCTCTTTTGTCTTTTCAAGGATCCAAGCGGTGCCGAACCCCGGCAGCACACTAACAGCACGGCTCGAACCTATTCTTGCCTAGGGAGATGAAGTAGTCGCACGAGTAAGTTCGAGGCATGAGTACATGTACAGGACAGATTCAATGCATCACGCAGGCAGTCATGCCGTAGCGGTGCAGGTCTGAATCGACAGCCGTCGTCTCAATGGCCTCTGCTCATGCTCGCTCGAGTCAACCGGCCTACCTACTGCATGATACCTTAGTAGCATCTAGTTGTACTTCCTACATCCAACCCGGGACCCCCATCGCCCTATCACGACCAGGCCTCTCTTCTGCTCTGCCCGGCCCTTGCCGCTACCGCCTCACAGAAAGACTGGCATCCCCACCTCTTCTTTCTCCTGCTGAGCCCACACTTTTGCTTTTCCTGTTGTTCAGGATCCCTGCAGCAAGGGAAAGCGGGCGCCTCTGGGCCGGCATCTGGTGCGGCGGCGCCATTGGCCATCAGCAGCCCTCGGGGAATACTAGGTACTATCGTATTGGGAGTGTAAATTTAGCACCCAGCGCTCGCTCGCTCGTTGACTTGGTTGACAAAGTTGCTGCTACTACCTACGCACCAGCCTACCTTATTAGTACCTGAATAATGTCCCAGGTGGCGGTAGATTCGAGGACCTCAAGGTAGGTGAACTTGGATGCTTGGAGACTAGTAGCAGCCTCGCTCACCCATGGCCGGAGGTGACGGTCCAGCCCAGCTCGTTTCTCACACTCCTTTATTGCCATTAGCTCCTCTTTTTCCCACCCCGAGTATTATCGAAGAAACAGCAGAAGAGACGATCTCGTCGCTCTTTGTCTGCGAGCATCCTGGACGATGCCGCCCTTGCTATCAAGTCCCCAGGCCATGCCCCAGCCCATGGGCGTCGTCGGAATGCGCTTTCGCGGAGCCTGGCCTGGGACCCCCTGGCCATTTCTGCTGTACAGGACAAGCACGAGGATGGATGTTTGTCTTGTCTGCCCAGTGCCAGTGCCAGCGAGTGGTGCGGAGAGGGTGGCGGATCAATCAATCGCAGTCAATCAATCAATCAACGCCAGGCCGCATGGACGCACGTCTGCACACGCACGCCCAGCGTCCTGCAGGTCTTCGAACTTGGACTGCGCATGCCATCATGTCACATCTCAGCCATTGGGGAGGGAGAGGAGACATGACAGTGATGGCGAAACGACCTGGGACGTGTGATGCCCATGTATGTATGTACGAGTACCTACCTTGATATGCCTCCTACCTTACATTGCCTGTCAACCATCATCCGGTACTGTAGGTACTTGTGACAACTCGACAGAGCTGAGCTGAGCTGAGCTGAGCAGAGCAGAGCATTGAAGAGACAGGACAGACAGCACCAAAGCACGGCATGTACGATCCTCCTTGACACGGGCAGCACCAACATGTACCGTCTTCACTACTGATACTCGGCACCATCATCATCATCTTCTTCTTCTCCCGAGGGGGCCAACCAGCACTGTAGCTCGACACACTCTGCATGTCAGTTGCCGGCCACATCGTGGGATCGCAGCAGCCATGAGGGGCTGGTGGCGTCGCCTTCGCTGTCCGTGTGGGCCCCGTCTGGCTGAGCTTGACAACGAACAACTCCATAATAATAGATGATGCTACTACGCGAAAATGGCCGACGGGGTCACCAGACTAGGGACGTTGATGAGTTGGTGACGGGTCAAACGGGCCAAACGAGCGGTCTCTCTGGCACCCTATGCCCTTTCCGGCCCTGCGTCGCCATCGCCTCAGCGCCCAGTTCTCCCCTTTGACTCCGACCCTCTCTGTCTCTCTCTCTGTCTCTCTCTCTCTTTCTTTGCCTCTCACGGCATTGGCATTGGCATTGGCATTGGCATGGCAAGGCAAGAGTCCCTTTGGCGTCCCCGAATCTTGGGCCGTGTGCGAATTCGAGGGTCGGCACAGTAGTTCGGCGAGCCTGCCGCCTGCGCGCTCGCGCTGTGCCGTACTGTGCAGCCAGGGAGGCAATTGGCCAGACTCAGACCACCAGAGATGTGACGGTCGACATGTACGTGCAGGCATGCGTATGTATGTGTGTGAATGTATGCTGCCCTAAGCATCTGCTGTGGTGCCTGACGAAGGATGGATGCGAGGGTTTGGAGATGCGGTCGTGTTATAGGCCGGTTGGCTTGGCTGGCGGGTTTGTGTGGCTGCGTCCGTGGATGGAGCTTTTCTGTGTGTGCCTTTGTTGTCGAGAGAGAGAGAGAGAGAGATCCGGCGCTTCATGTTGGCTGTTTCGTCAGCCGTCGATACAATCGCCAGGAGACAGTTGACAGTTGACAGGTAGTACCAAATCGACGATTCCATGGATTCATGGATATCTATAAAGCCAATTCCATCTGAGGCGCATCGAAGCAGGTGGCAGCAATTCCATTGCCGATTGTACTTAAAGACTACCAAGGTACATGTATGTACCTTTAGGCCTAGCCATGCAGACATGTGTAGGGCAGGGCCATGGATGTACATACGTATGCGCATGCAACAGCGACGAAGACTGGGCAATACCTGAGGCACCCGCGGAGGAGGTTGCCTCTTTTCGACGGACACATTGGCCTGTCGCTTCAGCTCTCTCTCCCTCTCTCTATCTACCTAGGTAAGGTTAGGTACCTGCCGCACGGATAAGTAAGTCAAGCAAGTAGAAACGTATCAATATGCATGGAAATGTGCGCGACGCGAGGGCAAGATCGAGTCGCAGGATGGAGGGCGGGCGGGCTGGCTCTGCATCATCCGGCGCGGCTTGTTTGCGCCAGTCTGTAGATCACGGCAAAGAGCGGCCACCGTAGCCTGGAAAGCAGCCTTTTTCCCAGTTTCAAGGGATGGCCATCTGGAGAGGGTCGTCCGACGGCGGATAGTCGTATCAGCGTAGATGCTCGAGATGGACGAGGCTCTTGATCCGATCAGGCGCAAAGGCGACGAGACAGACGGGAAGCTGGATCGATGGATGCGACTCGATGATGCATGGCGCTTTCGGGGGGGGGGGGGGGGGGGGGGGGGGCGTCGACGCACCATGACCAGCCCGCTAACCACAACGTGCTCCAGCGGCTCCAGCGCTGTTCCAGGCCTGCGTCGCCCGGCCCTCCAGCGCCCTCAGCGCCCACCCCAAAGGCCGCCGCACCGCAGCTGGAGGCGCTGCAAGGCGCTGCCAGCAGCCGGGCGACCAGCGACTCGCCGTGTTAGTGAGCCCAGAGGCCGGCCAGCGACAAAATCGTTCGACCTCGCCTAGCAGCTCCTCTTTTCCCCATGCACACATTCTACCAACTTGGCCTCACAGCAACAGCTTTGCAAACCACTCCTGAATCCCATCTGGTGAGTCCCATCGACTCTGTCGTCGTGCGCGATCACGCCTCTGCCCTGAATTCGGGCCTCCAGCACGCCCCTGTCCCTTGGATTCGCAACCTCATCCCACCCAACCCGTCCCTTTGCGGTGGCCAGCGCCTCTGGGTTCACAGAAGCTCATTTTTTTCCCTTTCCTCCAACCCGTCTTCCCCCGTCCGACGGCTTCGCGATCCTCGCCCAGCTCTTGTGTGCAAGCCTTGGTTCCATCTCTCGCGAAGTCTCCCATGGCTAACTTTGCTGCGTCGCCTCCCCAGATCCTGTCCTGAGCGCCGCCGCTCTCGCCAGTTCTTCGTCGCCGCCGAATCCGCCGCCGCGCCAGCCAGGAGCTGACCAAGAAGCAGGCGCTTACCGCATCACCTGGATGGTTGATCAAGTTTGGACATTGCCTCATCAGTCATCATCCTCTAGAAGCGGAAGAGCCCTTTCTCGAGTCCTGGCTATCGGCCGGTGATGAAATTGCCCGTCCTCACGCCGAGCGATACTCTTGTCTGAAGCTGCCTGCTTCTGTCCGACCCACGTCCCCAGCCCAACTCTTCTTCCTACGAGCCCTCGATCGCCATCTCCTCCCATCCCCCCCCTTCCATCCGAGCCGAAGACTATAACACAAACAATCTATCAACAAGATAGCAAGAAATCCACAAGAACAGAAAAAAAATGAACTCATTGTCCCCCATAAACACTTCGGGCGGCATGTCGGCGGCGTCCTCACACGGCGGCAGTGTCTCGCCTCGTCAGGCGCCGAGCCCCAAGAACGTCGCATTTGAGCTGCTGTTCCTCGAATCGCCTCAATACCGCGCGCGCCTGCCCATGCGAGTCCAGATCTACCCCCATGACACCACAGACTCCATTGTCACAACCGTCAAGAACTTTTACGGCTTGTACTCGGGCCCGCCCGGCTCAAAAGGCGTCAGCTTTGAGGACGAGCTCGGCAACACTCTGATTGCGCGATATGAAAATTTCCGCAACAACATGGTTGTCTACGTCCGAGTCATCGAAGAGGCTCCCGGGGCTGCCCTGGAGTCGCATCGCTATCGCGGCCTTCACATGGGCGCCGACTCCTACTACGGCGGCGGCGATGCCTACGCCCTGCCCCAGCGCTTCGGCCCTGACATGGCCCGCTCCAATTCGACATCACCACGCCGCCGCAGTCCTTCGCCCAATGTGTCGCGGGGACGCAGAAGCGACTCGACCAGCTCCAATGGCAAGAAGGGTCGCTCTCGCTCTACCAAGAGCCGAGCGCTCCAAGGCCACGCCGATGCATACGCCGAAAGCATCAACGGCTACAGCAGCGGCGATGGCGCCCCGAGCACCACGTCTGCCCGCGCCAAGGAGCAGCTCGGAACCACCGACATCAGCGTCGAGAACATTGTGGAGGGCGGTCGACGAAAGAGGGCCAAGTTTGAGAGCTCTGTAAGCCTAGCGCCATCTCATCATTACGCATTGCATTGATTGCTCGCAAAGTTGCTAACGCTGGTTTTTTTCTCCTTCTTTTTCTTACGCAGGAACTGCCACTCTTCGCACCGCCTCAGATGCCGGCCGCCACTTCAAATCCATCCGTATCTCCCGCCAGACGTATTGAGCATCATCACCGACATTCCCTCTCGTACGTCCAGACCGGCCAGAACCCTTTTGTACACCCCCGACCGCTGCACTCGCCGCAGAGCTATGGTAGTGCGCACGGCCAGATGGGCCTGTACTCGACCCCTGTCTCCAGCGACCGCCGCGGTCGGGGCAGCATCTCGTACGGCAGCCATAGCATGGCCCATGGCATGGGCATCCTCCCAACTCCCGACCCCACCGTCGGGAGCTGCATGTCGGAGGAAGACAAGGATGTCGCCATTCAGCTCATGCGGCTGGGCGAGATGTCCAACATTTCTCACGGCCGCACATCCGCGTCGACTTTGGAGGACGCATTCAGCGGTAGAGCCGACGCCGCGTCGTCCACTGGCGCAACTAGCGACAGCGACAGTGACAGCGATGCCGGGCTCCCGCCGCCCCGTCGCCAAAAGCTGGACCTGACGGGCGCGTCCAAGCAGGTCTACCAGACCACCGAGTCGCACTTCATGCCGCCCATTGACGGCGCCGAGGCCAGCGGCGACGATGCCGACTATGAGGATGGCCCTGACGTCCGAGCCAAGCCGGCCCAGAGCAAGTCGTCCAAGAGCAAGTCGGCCCCTATGGCCGCGCCCAAGCCGGCCGCCTCCAAGACCAAGGCTCCCCGCGTTGCCAACGGCAGCAAGACCAAGAAGCCGCCAATTGTGCCCAACGGCCCCATCTCCCCGGCGGCCTCGACCACCCACTCTAGGAAGCAGTCGGTGGCGTCCGTCGGACACATGTCCCAAACTGGCGAGGACGAGCAGCCTGATCTGTCGACCAAGCCGCGCTGCCAGCGCTGCCGGAAGAGCAAGAAGGGCTGCGATCGCCAGCGACCCTGCGGACGCTGCCGCGACGCCGGCCTCTCCGCCGACCAGTGCATCAGCGAGGACGAGGGCAACGGCCGAAAGGGCCGCTACGGCCGCCACATGGGAGTGCCTCTGAAGAAGGAAGACATGGCCATCGCATCCCAGCCTGCGCTTTTGCCCGCGGCTCCCATCGCTGCCAACACAATGACCGCCGACAAGGCCAAGAAGCGCAAGCGGTAGAGAACGAACTCCCACCCGGTTCGTTTTCCTGCGCGCTACGGTCTGTATGATGTGTGTCATTTAGGAAGCCAGGAGGAAGGAGGGCTTCTCCTCTCTCACTCTTTCTTGGTCGCGGGCAATTGTGTATCGGGGTCGTTTGGCTGTTTGTTTCCGTCCCTTCAGTATCTGTCTTCATGGCCTTGTCCGGCAACCCCTGGATTTGAGGCCGGGAGACAGGTCTACAAGGTTGACGACTGCAGCCCTCCTCGAGGTGGTTTGGCTTTTCTATCCGGCACAGTCTTCATTTTCTCCCATGATGCTCTTACGAAGATGTAATCACGACGGCCAATGCAGGGCCATTGCACTCCTTTTGGCGTTCGGATGTCTTACAGGTGTCTTTTATTTGTTCTCGGTTCTCTTCTTCTTTTCGCCAATTACGTCATCTTTCCTGCTGGTTGTTCTCCATTTTCTTTTCACACATGTTCCCATCTCAAGATTCACCAAGCAAGCTGCACAGAGAAGACAGCTGCAGACCAACAACAGAAGGGCGTGCACCCGCGCACCCGACTCTACAACTCGTTTGCAAACCACATGGTGGGGAGAAGGAGTGTCGAGAGTGGACGTGGCAAGGTTACAAAAAAAAGGCGGCCGTGGCGAGCTTTGGAAAGAAGTCTCGCCAGCGAAAGTTGGAACGAGAGCGAGGAGGAGCGCGTCTAGTATTTCCTTTTTTTTTTTTCTTATCAACGTTTTCTCTCACTGTTTCCTCTGTTCCCATCTCTTTCCCTTTCCATATTTCTCATCCTATGTCTAAAGTAAGAAGGTCTGGTCGGGTATGGTGGCAAAACAAAAATTCGCCGGTTGGAGCACTCGTCTTTGGTGTGTTTACAACTGTCTAGAGGTAGTATCTAGACAATGGACGGGTGGCGGGGATGGAGGTGCTCTTCCTTTTTGTTTCTTTCTTTTTCGTTTTCTCTACTGTTTTCGTTTCATTATCTTTCATCTCTTGTTTTCACTCTGCGTTCTTCTCTTGTTCTCAAAGTTTCCTATCTGTTGAGTCGAATTTCAGCGATTCGCGGTTGGTAGTTTGCGGGTTCTTTGTTTCCTTGTCTATTTCCTTTTGAGTGTTGGCCATCACAGAGAGGGTGCAGCTCGTTCCCGTTTATCCATGGAGGGATGGTTGGACCCGGGAGGATAGGTAGGCGGCATAGCGGAGAAAAGGGGGCGCCATCGCGCTTCGAATATACGGGAACATGTTTTTCTTTTACTCTTGACAGATGCCTCTTGTGGTGAGATGCGATGTGCTGTGTAATGAATGATGGGTGATCTAGTACGAGATTCTAGAAGCGCATCGAGCGTCTTCTTTTGCCCACTTGGTATGCTTATGGAGCCGGTTGCCTTGTTTCGCCTGATGCTAGCCTGGCGCAAGGCGCAAAGATGAGACGCGCCCACCAAGCGCATCCAGTTCCGCCCTGCAACCCCAAAACACCCGGTCGCCATCCGGCGCATGCCAATTCTATCAACTGCAGCTCCGAATGCCATTCTCAAGGAAGATTATATCTCTCTCCAGCACTATTCTTGAAGGAGCAGATGAAGCAATCCTCGCCCGCGAAAGATGCAAATGTCGTCAAACTTGGCTCTCCGCACCATTCCCCAACTTACTTAGCGCCGTTTCGGGCCGGCAGAAGCCGGCGCAAGGGGTGTAGTCCTTGGTTTTTTACTCGTAGAGGGGGGGTGTGGCGCGCCAAGGGGGGGGTTCAATAACCGATTGGTTCTCGGGAAGCCATTTTGGTGGTTTTTTTCTCTTTGGATTTCTTGAGGTGGGGTGTGTCATGTGACTTTGCACGGACCTTGCGAATGAGCTTTCCGATGAAACAATTGGGTAAAAATGCTTGTTACGTCATTGGGATGTTTTTGGGTTACCCCGCGGTAGTTGGAGGGGTTGATTTTGAAGGGGTTTTGAAGGGATGAAGGATGTACTCGTATGAAAGGCAGCGAAATCCTAGTAGAGGGAAACTGTACCATTTGGCTGTTGTTGTTTAGTTAGTTGAGATGAGTGTCTATGCGCATCTTGGCTTGTGTATGCAGTGTTTTTCTCGGGGGGGTAATTATGCATTTCTGGGCTTTGCGAAACTTGACTCGGTACCTAAATGGGAGCGATCTAAGGTACCTACTTAGCTCGGGCGTGAAATTCCGCCAACCAATTTGCGCGCGAGAAGGCGCAGAGAAAGCCATTTCGTTACCCCATGCAAGACCGCTTTCCATTCCTCTCGCCTGCGAAAGGGACGATAGTCGAATCCTTTGATTTTTGAGTAAAACGAACAGGCGACGAGACCAAATAGATTAAACTGGCAGTCTATCTGCAGTCTCTTCGATCAGAGTGGTTGTTTTTTTTAGTTGTCCCCCTTTTTAAATTGTATGGCGTTTTGCGCGTGACCTCTTTTGAAGCGGTGTGTCCATTGGGCTGGAGAGGAAGGAAGGGGGGAGGGCGCGCGCGCCCTCGGGAAGGGAAAAATAAAAACAGGATAAGAGACGATAAAGTTTCGAGAGAAAGGCCGCCGATTTTTATCGGGAGTGGGGCGCCCGGAATGAGTGCCGGACATCGGAGCGGGGGGGGGGGGATTGGATGGGGAAAAGGGCGTGAAGAGGGCCGAGATGGGACATGGGGCTTACCCTGGATGCTTGTGAGGTTCCCCGGGGGAATCATGTGCATTACTGCTTGCGTCTGGTCATTCTTTTCTGCTGCATTCCGATATGTTGTTTAAGGCAGGCGCTCTATAGGTAGTTTTCATTCTCGTTCATTCTTTTTTCCTTTAAGGTGGACATTGAGTTTCCATGCTGTCTGCTTTTGCATGCCGTCGAGATAACGGCCTATTACCGGAGTAATCATGCACATGCCACCAAACCCATCACACATCCCGCCCCCAACTAACAGAACAGCCACATGCCGTAAAACAAATCAACTTTCCTAACGATCTCACTCAATCCACTCCTCAATCATATCCAGGTACTGATGATCGGATCGGATAGCATCTTTCCGCAACCCAGTTCGCCCCCCCTTTACGTGGTAATAACAACCCCCCCCCCCAGGCACATAATATGGGAAAAGCTCTGCAAATCAGCTGGACCCATCTGCAGCCGGGCTCGGTGAGAGATGCTCCGGTTCTTTTGATTTAGCTGCCGAAACGGCTTTGCTCTCTGCGATATCCGATGGGGGGGGGGGGGGGGGGGGGACTTATTCCCGGCTGAGTCATCTGACTTGATACAAGCACGTAGTAAGGTTGATACTGACTGTAACTATTGATACCGGCAATAGCTTTTTCCAGTTTTGATGGACAAAGTCAGTCCTTGGCCAGGGGAGGAGGAACAGTATGTATATGTCGGGGAGAGGATAGATGATCCACACGGGCATCATGCTTGAATATGCTTAGTGCTTTGAGTTGTCCACGTCCCTGCAACAATTGATATATGACTGTCATCGCATTGTAGAGCTACCCCATCTTTACGCCATGTGCAGAACACCAGCGCTCTCTCTCCCTTTCCTCAGGGCTACCATACCTTTGCCGATACTAGGGAGGTAGGTAATATGTGGAGAGCAGAGCGTGTCGTATGCTACTAATAGCCACCTCCCGTGCTTCCGCTAGTACGGTGAAAGCATCTCGTGTGTGCGGGAAGCAATCGCTATGCAACCTCATCCGCCTCAACCAAGCCCTCACCGTCACACTTACATACAGTAGCAGTACCGGCTATACCTAGGTATCCAACAACATACTACATACTTACAGGTACATGCCGCCCCCCCTCGGACCCAAGGGACCTGCATGTACGCGGAAACACACCTCGTATCTTTTGGTGTGTTTAGGTATTAATATTCCTTTTACCGTCTACTGCCGGGTTCACTTGACCAAATCAAGATGCCCGGGATTTTAATATCCAAAAGGGAGGGCGATATCGGGGCTTTATGCCCGAAGAACGGAACGGCGATTATAAACCAGGCACCACATGGCGGGCTTGGGTTAAGGTACCTTGCAGCAGCAGAAGCCAGAGAAAAGAAAAGAAAAGAAAAAAAAGTCAAAAGGCGAAAAAAGAAGGGGAAAACACGCCCCCCCTCTCTCTGACCCCCCCGTCGTCTCGCCTCGTCACCATTGCGTTCGGGGATGGTCATGGATCTGGGACGTACTTTTGCACTACTCACCTCTACCTATATAAGTCCCAATGCCTTGGCCGGCGGATCGAGCTGCTGTGTTTCTCTGCACCTTCACCTTTTCCTGGTGGGAGCTGGGCTAGGATCAAAGTTGTAGCATGGCTTTTGAGGATTTTTCTGGCTTCTTTGTTCTGGTTGTTTGACATATTACTTGTTGGAAATATCTTGTTCTCTTGAGTTTGTTTGGATTATCGACTAATACGATTTCATATCATCTCTTCTCTCTCCCTCCAATTTCAGACATCGTCTCACCCTTCCCCCCTGATCCATAATGACGTTACGAGATGATGAAAAAGATGCCTCTCGCAAGGCCGTGGTCGTCCAGGAGCGCGAAACCAGCGTCCTCGGCACCGCCCTCCCTCCCCGTGAAGGATCGATGGCGCCGGCCACAAACTCGGACCAGGACGTCGAAGTCGCAGACGACGAAGAAAAGGGCTACGGCCCCCCTCCGGACGGCGGCCTCGAGGCGTGGCTCCAGGTGCTCGCGACGCACCTCATCAACGCCATGACCTGGGGCTACGCCGCCTCCTTCGGCGTCTACCAGCTGTACTACGTCGAGACGCTGGGCCTGCCGTCGTCGCAGGTCTCGTGGATCGGCTCCGTCCAGATCTTCTTCACGTACGTCATCTGCGCCGTGTCCGGCCGGCTCGCCGACGCCGGCTACACGCGCGAGACGGTCGCCGTCGGCACGTTCCTCGCCGTCTTCGGGTCCTTCATGACCAGCCTCGCGCGCACGTACTGGCAAATCTTCCTCGCCCAGGGCGTCTGCATCGGCATCGGCCTCGGCGTCGCCTTCATGCCCGCCATCTCCGTGCTCAGCTCGTACTTTGACAAGAACCGCTCCTTTGCGCTGGCCGTCTCGGCGGTCGGCACCTCGGTCGGCAGCGTGACGTTTCCCGCCACCATCCAGTATCTGACGCCCAAGGTCGGCTTCGCCTGGGCGGTGCGCGTCGCCGGCTTCATCGCCCTGGCCATGGCCGTCGTCGCCAACCTCCTGCTCAAGCCCAGGCTGCCGCCGCGCAAGTCGGGCCCCCTGCTGGAGCTCAAGGCCTTTTCGGAGCTGCCTTATCTGTTGTTCTCCATGGCCTCCTTCGTCTACTTTTATGCCCTATACTTTGTCGTCTTTTATGTATGTGAGCACAATGTCGTGATGCGTATTTCTTTTTCCTCTTCTTTTTCTTTTCTTTTCTTTGCTTTTCTTTTTTTTTTTTTTTTTTTTTTTTTTTTTTTTTTTTTTGGTTTCTTCACAACCACAATCCATATTCGCCGCCGCCTTCCAGCGCTTCTGTAAAGTTGACGCCGTGAATCTGCAAAGATCAGCACCGCATCCAGACGTGAATGAATGTCGTCGTTAACCCTTTTCTTTCCCCCAGATCAATAGTTACGCCCGCAACATCATTGGCTTCTCGGACCAGGACGCCATCAACCTGCTGCTCATCACAAACGCCATGGGCATCCCTGCGCGGCCAATTGCGGGATACATTGCGGACCGTCACACAGGCCCAATCAACCTCTTCTCCGCCGCCACCGTCGCCGTGAGCGTCATGATATACGCCTGGGTCGGAGTCACGACCCGGACGGGCATGTACGTCTTCAGCGCCGTCTACGGCTTCGCTGTCGGCACCAACCAGGGCACGTTTGTCGCCTCCCTGACCAGCCTGACCAAAGACCCGCAGAAGATGGGCATCCGCTTCGGCATGGTAGAGACGCTGTGCTCGCTGGCGACGGTGGCCGGGGCGCCGACGGCCGGGGCCATTATCGATCACAACAACGGCGACTTTTTCTGGGCGCAGATATGGGGAGGGACCGTCATGGCGGCCGCAGCAGTCATCTTCGTAGCGTGTCGCATTTTCGTGACCGGATGGAGACTGGTCAAGATTTAGCCAGTCGGTGGAACAGTTGCCGAAGGATTGATCGATCGGAAAAGGGGTATAGATACTAGTAGGGTATGGGGAAGATGGAACAGCGGGGAAGCATGCAAGAAAGAAGGATATCTACCTAGGTAGGTATCACGTCGAGGAATGGCCGCAATGTAGGTATGTAATGCCGATATCGGAGCATGAATGATGACCGCGAAAAAGCATCTTGTCAAGTAATAATGACGAATAGAATCAAGGCTAGTACCTAGTGTTTATCACCGCTTGGGACTCTGTGATAATATTGAATGATGATGAGTTACTGTAGGTATTAGCTCACTGTTGCCGCAGCTTTGCGACGGCCTTTGCTGCAAGAGCCGCAACCTGCGTGCCGTCCTCCCAGATGCTGTCGTGCTCAAGCCGGAGGTCCCTGATGGCTATCGGCGTGATGCCGTCCTTGACAAGCTTGGCCTCCATGATATCCAGCTCCGCTACGTCGATGAGGGTATCCTCTGCGGAAGATGCCAAGATGACCAGGCGAGGCTCGTTCGGCCACAGGCTCTTGAAGTTCCCAGCAAACTTTGCCGGCGATGCTGCGTCCCAAACCTGCCTGTCCGGACCAAAGGCGTCGGCGATGAAAGTCTCGTATACTCCGCCGTGCCTCTCGGCGAGGCCTCTCAGGTCGTGTATCCCGGATATGCTGACGAGGGCTGCTGGCAATGGCGCGGCCGGGCCCCAAGCACGCGAGGCGTCGTTGTTCATGATGACCTGATGGACCAGCGTCCCGCCAACCGAGTGGCCTATCAACACGTAGTTGCCACCAATGCCGTACTCGGCATCAAGCAGCCTCAGCGCGGCCAGGACGTCCTGGACATGTTGCGGGTGCAGGGCCTGGCGCAGCTCATTCGCCGGCGTCGAGGCGGGATCCTGGGGGAACTGCGGGTGCGGCGACAGCCGGTAGTCGACGCTGGCGAAGCCGCGAACCGCAGACCGGGGCAGATCGGGCTGGGCGAGCATGTGCTTGATGGACGGCACAAAGTCATGGAGGGTGTTTCTGGGGTCGCGCCACCCGCCGCCGTGGACGAAGCTGTCAAAAGGGGGTTTCGGGTGTAAGAGTCAGGAATCCTCACGTAGAAAGATGTTCCAAAGGTTCGGGATGACAAGAAAACAACAAGAAAATCAACGTGTGAGCCCGCGACGGGATTTGACGTCAGGCGGCAGCTGCTGTCACGTACATGATCCAATATGATGGCGTTGAATCTGCCGCTTCTGGCGCGTCATTGTGCTGCCAGACGCCGACGCGCTGGAGGTTGTGCTGGCCGTACTGGTGGCTGGCATATCTGAGGCCGGGGATGTCTGCGGAATACGCCATTTGTGAGGCTGCGATTGTCTCTTTGTGAGCTTTGTGTTGCAGGGGATGGCGAAGGATTTCCACAGGCTGTGCAGATGGTGAGGGGGGTTGGAGGAGGCGGGGTTTGCAGACACGGAGTTGAGGGTGCTAGTCCCTTCGTTTCAATACTGGAATCCTTGAGTCTGGGTGCGATGGAGATTGGAGTGAGAGCTGTTGCTTTGCTTCTTGTTCTTGCTTTCTTTTTCTTTTCCTTCAATATTTCGTGTACTCTGGAAGACCACTGGAAGATTCACTATGAGAGGACTGCAGAGCTGCAGGGCAAGATGCTGAATACCTTCCTCTTCTGAGACATGAGGCTATTTTTACAGGGTCGGACAATACATGGAACGGGAAATACGGGGTAGCGGATCGCTAGAGGGCTTCCAGAACGCGGCTAGCGAATCAGTAGCGCCTGTAGCTGGACCCGAGGACCTTGAAAGGCGCTGGAGGTACTCGGTACGGCGACATCCAGCGGTCCCGCCTCGATTAAGTATTGGCCTTCCCTGTACCGGTACTTTTTACTTGGCATTGCCGGCGAGCGGGAATAAGAAAATCTAAAGTCGCATGCGAGTGATTCGGCAGGTGGAAGACAAATGATGCAGTATTGAGTACTAGTACCTAGTATTAAAATTTGAGCCTGGAAATAGGGGCGCGTCGGGAGCGGTGCGGCTCCAATAGGGGGGGGCCAGTTGATGCGTGATGTCACGGGTACCTTGGCGGTGTCTTGGCTTGATGAGCTGAGATGCCCTTTGAATTGCCAAACGGTTGGAGAGCAATTGAGTTTGAGAGGGTAGGTGGTGCAAAGCATCGATTCCAGCTGCGAAATGCTGTCGCGTGCTACATTGCCACCACATAGTATGGTAGTAGAGAGGCCTTGTGGCTCAAAGGACGCGGTGGCACCGACTCCTTTGATTTTGGGGTCTGTGATGACTGAAAATTTGGAGGCGAGACAGTTTGAGGAGAGGCCTGACTCAGCTGTGCACTGCATGGGCTTCTGTTCTGGAATTAGCTCGAGGCCAAGCTTTTCTGGACAGTGTCCGCTGAATGTCTCTACTGTGTCAGCATCGACCTCCTCTTTTGTCATGGCGATCGTTCAGAGCAGCAATAGTTGAGCATCAAGCGTCGACTCGACCGAATCCCGATCAAGCGCACGCTCCTGTCCCATGTCAGCATGACGAGGCTTGGATCAACTAGAGCTACCAAAGACTGCTCGGTACCTAGTAGTCGCATTGGCAGCGCCAAGAGCGTCCAACGTGAGCGTCGTTTGGGGCTGGATGTAGATCTGTCGTAAAGACTCACTCGCCCCCGGATGAAACACAGACACAGCCTTCTTGCGAGGTTGTCTCAAGTCTCGAGGCTTCTGGCTCTGGCTCTGGCTCTGCCCCACCGCCGGTGCAACCATCTGTTGCCAGGCTTGCTTCTACTATCGATTCCATCACCAATAGTATCAACCTGCGCTACGGACTCTGCTAGCGGCTGCTCATCTTGTAAGATGAGGTAACGACTCGCTGGCCAACGACAGCCGCCGGAGCGTAAGGAAAGTCAATTTCAATAGCCTGCTCTTACATACAGACACAGTACAATTAATTAGCAGTATCAGATGCAATGGATGGCATTGATGGGCAGCCATGTTCTCGTAAGCGCACTGCGGAAGTGCTGCCGAAGCCAGTTCTGGACCAGTTCCAGATTAATACGAAGGATGGACGCATCGTCTCCCGGCACTCGCTCGTATCTGGGCTCCCGAGCTGCTATTCTGGGTTCCACGTCTGATGATCCAATGCCACCCGCGGGGATTGCCTCCTTCAGTACAGCGCCCACCTCACCAAGCTGTGCTGCCTTGGATTCCTGACCAACCTACGGTACCTACGGTATGTACGAGTAGTACTTGTAGTGTCCGTCGTGGCACGGCCATGCTTCTGGTGCTACCTGTCCCGTGTTTCTGTGCATCTCCGACTTGTGTGTTTCAACCTGCTCGGTTCCCCACACTTTGTTCTGTGATGTAGTACTAGACAGAACCGGCATGTCATCATGCGACGAGACGAGACCAAGACTGGATGCTCTACCTCACGCACCAACAAGACGAACAGCTCGCCACACGAACCGAACCACCGCGAGCACTGGTCAGCTGTGGCCATGCTGTGCCCAGGGAAAGACGCTGGATTTCCCCTCTGCGTTGCCTCTTGCAGACTAACTCGGCATTGTTGGCATCCCCTCATTCTGACAATAGCTACAGAGTGGATGAGGTCCAGCATTGACGATGGATGAAGAAAATCCTTGGCCTGGCGCGCACAGTGCTGCCCGTAGCCGGTACTTGCGGAGCGGCATCGCGGCAACACAGTGCGAGGCGTACAAGCGTAGAAATAAGGGGGAGGCTGCCGACCCCAAAAAAACAGCGGGGACAGAGGCTCAGAAGGCGCACCAAGTAGCGCTACCTCAGGAGCAGCAACGAGGCGGCGCTAGCCCCAAGTCACCGCGACGGCCAGCGAGGAACAGCGAGGGACAGCGACCAGCCTCGGGAGGCCATTGGCGTGGCGTGGCGGGCTGTTTGCGGGGCGCTGGCCTTCTAACGGCGTTGCAGGCACGCGACACTGACGGCCCAAGTACCGGTACCCGCGCTAACTGTACGGGGCACGGAGCAAGCGACTCGACTCGAGGCGACAAGGGGGGGGCCAGAAAAAGCCCTGCGGCGCCAGCAGAACTTTTGTCTGAGGCGCCCATTTTGATCCTCATCTGCCACACCCGCGCCCTCGGTTTTTCCCTTTTGCTTGGGACATCATTCCATTCCATTAATTCCTATCGTTTGTCCCCGATTTTGGGCGGTCTCGCACGGCGCCGACCTTCTTTTTTTCTCTTCTCTCTGTTCGCGGCCTCGTTTCAACTTCCTTCGCTTCTTGGCCAGCCCGCCTTTGTTTTCTTTGCCGGTTCGTTTTCTTGTCGTTTGCTCTGCGGCGCTGTTGCGAGACGGAGACGGAGACGGAGACGGAGACTAGTCTCGTGATCCCCTCAACAAGGGTGGGAATACAGGAAGAAAAGAAGCTTGAGGAAAGAGAGACGACAAAAAGACTCTTCTTTACCGCTTCAACAGCGGCGCGTTGGATATGAGAAGCGTCACTTGGTGGTAGCCCTGTGTGCCTCTCGCTGACTCCTGTCGCCTCCGCCCCTTTCCGTCCTCAACTCGACCTACAACTCGATCTCGACCTCGACCTTGACCTCGACCTTGACCTCGACCTTGACCGATCGGACCCCCCGCCCCGACTCCGACTCCGACTCCGCGGCCTTGACGCCGCCCTACTCCCACCTCCTCCTCGCCATGGAGTCGACGCGCCGCTTCACCAGCGGCATGGCGTCCCGCATGCGCTTCTCCAGCCCGACGCGGCGGCGGCTGGGTTCCGCTACCTCGACTGTCACCGTCGTTGCCGCGCCCGTCATGCGGATCCTGTCTGCCTTTGCTGCTCGATTTGCAAACCGGCAGTTTCTCTTCGCCATATGCGTCGTCGCCATAACCAGCGGCAAGCTGGTGCACATATACGCCCACATCACGGCGCTCGCCTTCCGCTCCCTCGCACGCTGGGGCCTCACATTCTTCACACAGGATACCGCCTTCTTAATATTAATACGGCTGCTGCTCGACACGGAGATATACCCTTGGCGGTGGCTGCGCATCGTGCTCACGACCCTGGCGACGCTACTCGTTACGATTGTGCTGGCCCTGGCGGCCATCAACAACGCCTTCTTTGTCGTCGCCGGCTCCGAGCCCCACTGGCGCAATGCTGGCTTGGCGAGCAACGCCTCCTCGTGGAAGCTGGCAGTCACCGGACTGTTTACCTGCCTGATTGTCTTGGCAATCATCCTCGGCATCAGCTGGGTCACGCAGGACATCTTCTACTACCTGGCCGGCCTTGCCCTGGACATCCTCAAGTGGCCCTTTGCCTTTGTGTACAGCAAGCTCCCGCAACGGATGCGCCCAGCGGCGGCAAATGTCCGATACGCTCATGTTCCCCAGCAGGATGTCGAGGGCGGATCCGAGCTCATGGGCAAGGAGGACGACGACATTGACTCTAGCGGCTCCAGCGCTGTCTCGGATGCGCGCCGAGCTACGAAATGGACGACTGCCCTCTATGTTCTCGTCGGCCTCGGTCTGTTGCTCCAAGTCCTGCTGTACATCGTCCGACCGAGCGAAGGCTCTTATACCTACATGTCGTGGACACTGCCGCTGCTCCCCTTTGCGGATTTCGCTCACTCGTCGCCCATTCTGGCTGCGCTCACCCCCGTCTACGATGTTAGCATTGGCTGGAACTGGGACAACCGCACCGCGCTGGTGGAGCCCATTCGGTGGGAATGGTTGCCAAAGGACCCCCTCCCAGGATTCCAAGACTGGTACACGGCGGAGGAGACGCACTACCGCGCCTCGCAGGATCCCTTGAAGATCTCTAACCTGAAGAATGACGTCCTTCCCGAACTTCGCGACAAGCTGGCCAACATCACGATCAAGAACGTAGTGCTCATTAAGCTCGAGAGCACGAGAAAGGACGCCTTTCCCGTCAAGAAGGACGGTCTCTTCTACCAGCTTGCGGCCGAATCCTTTGAGAATGGCACACTGCCCGAGACGGCGGAGAAGAGGATTTCCACGCTCACCCCCACTGCCAATTTCTTGACGGGAGACTACCAGGACGGCTTTGAGCACAAGGAGAAGAAGCGACGAGGTGGCCTCAACGCCAACAACTGCCACACGTCGGCCAGCTACACGCTCAAGAGTCTTACGGGCACGCTTTGCGGACTGTCGCCGCTCGTCGCCGACTTCAACGCCGAGGTCTCGCATCACATCTACCAGCCCTGCCTGCCGCACATCTTTGACGCCATGAACCTCGGTCTGGGCAACTCGTCCAAGGACGGCGACAAGAAGGACTTTACGTCGCACAAGTGGAAGTCCTCCTTTATGATGTCGGTGACGAATGGATTCGACAAGCAGGACGAGCTCATGGTGCAGCTCGGCTTCCCGCGGAACAATACCGTTTCCAAGGAGTATCTGAAGAGCGACGATGCCAAGTTTGGAAAGGTGGACGTCGAAGACATCAACTACTACGGAATGCCCGAGTATGTCATTGAGGACTACGTCCGCGATGCGTTCAAGTCGGCCAAGGAGAACAACGAGCGAGTGTTTCTGACCCACCTGACCAGCACCACACACCATCCCTTTGGACTGCCGGAAGACGTCGAGCACGTCCCCATCACCAGCGAGGAGAGCTCCAAGCTGGACAATGTGTCCAAGTACCTCAACGCCATTGGGTTCGTCGACCGCTGGCTCCAGAAGATTCTGGATATCCTTGATGAGCAGGGTGTTGCGGACGAGACGCTGGTCATCTTTGTCGGCGACCACGGCCTTGCGGTACCGGAAAACGATGGCATCACGCCGTACTACAACACCAACATTGGCAACTTCCACGTGCCGCTGGTCTTTTCACATCCCCAGCTGCCTGCTATTGACATTGACGATGCGGTCATTTCCTACCAGATCCTGCCCACGATCCTCGACCTGCTGCTGGAGACGGGCTCGCTCTCGTCTTCGCAGACGCAGATTGCAAAGGACATGATTGACAACTACGAAGGGCAATCCATGCTGCGATCGCTCATCAACGTCAATGACAAGACGGGCCAGCCCAACTGGCAGTTCAGCGTCATGAACCCCGGGCGAGCCACGGTCGCCGTTCGCGACAGCCGCGAGCCGCACTGGAGACTCACGGTGCCCATCATCGAGAACACCGAGTGGCGCTTCACGGACCTGGACACGGAGCCCCACGAGGAGAAGCACCTCGTCGCCTTTGACTTTCCCGGCTTCCTGCAGAAGATTGAGCAGGAGAGGTCGGTTGAGGCGGCGCACTGGGCAGAGCAGGCTGCGTTTGTGGCGCGGTGGTGGGTTGAGGAGAACAGCATGCGCTGGCACTACAACCCATCTGAATAATGACCGAAACATGACCTACAAGGGGCGGGGGAAACATTATTCGAGTTCTCCTTTATCCTCTTTCTTTATGGTCCGGCTGCATCAACATGCATGACGACATGACAGATATCAATCCGTATCTGCTGCCTTGTAAAAATCCTCTTTTACCACCACCCATACATAGCTGTTTTTGTTTTGGTCCATTCTTCTGGTCTACATTTCATAGGGGCGATGGGGGCATTAATATCTTTTTTCTTGTTTTCCCTACTTTCTCCTTCTTCCTCTTTTTGTGTATTCAGTCAGGGTATATAAGGCGTCTCGCGCTTATGATTGTGAATTACTTGGGTAGACCGTTTGAACACAAACTTTTTCAGAAGAAGAAGAAGAAGAAGAAGAGCGGTCTGTGGCTCTGCGGCGGAATTAAAAAGGGCGGTCTTTTGAAGCTGTCGAGTTTTATCCTATTATTCTTTCTTCAGCATAGGAGCGATGAGTTGGTAGATGAGGGCTTCATGGAGAGGGGGGGGGTGGGATATGCGTTGCATAGGTACATGCCCCCCCCTTTAGCCAGCGCGCACAATGCGAGAGAAGATGATGAAGACATTTGAAGTCTCCCTCTAAGCGAGAGCAAAGCGGTCTTTGAAGGGAAAAAGGATCTGCACTAGATGTGGAATGTGATTGCTGGGAAACGCTGCTTCTAGCTGGCTGTTTGTTTGTTCGTTAAAACGTCTGGCAGCTGACCTTTGACTGACGATATCCGTGATAATGACACCTCTGCTGCTTGTCCATCTATGTTATTATGCGTTGAGTGCCGACGAGCCTTGACCCTGGCTTTTTTGGGTCTTGGTGCAACGTGTGATTTTACCGAGCTTGACAGCTCTGATCAAGCATTTTCTGTGCATCCGCCCACCCGGGCATCGTCATCACCCGCCCCGTTTGTGATACACACATCAGATGGTGACGTTGAAGATGTAAAGCACTCTTACCGAGAGGGTATCTTGAAGATATCAGTTACAGTGCCGAAAGCACCCGGCGGGCCGTGAGCGACGTGATTCCGAGGTTGCATGTCTCAGTTTCAGCTCCCGGGGTCGCTTGACAGCCCTCTTGTCTGTTATCTCTCTCTCTCTTCTCGTCACGTTTACGTGTGCTGGTGCTTCTGTGACTCTTTTTCCTTTGACTCATGACTTTATCTAATCCCTTTTTTTCAATTTTTTTTTTATTTTCTTCTTCATATTCACTTGTGCTTGCTGTGTAACAAACAGCTTCCCTGTCTCTACCAAGCTCCGGGAGGCTGGAAACTTTATGTTGCCTGAGCATGTGTGGAATTGTGGATGCGGATCATCTCCGATTAACGACAAACAGGGTAAAAAATCAAGAAGAGAGGGAAACTCGTCACTGTCAGGCTGGTGACGCTTAATGATCTTTCAAATTTGCTGAAAATGTGATTGCCGTTTGGCATTTTGTCCAGTCAGCTCGTGCGTTTGCGCAAAGGAACGGAATTAAGCAATAAGTCAGGGCGGAAGCTGTAGCACGTGTCACATGACATGGCACTAGCTATAGAAGACGCCCTACAGCGCATTAGGTAGCATAAATTAATTATCTTATATTACATGCATGCTATAATTAGTAGTAATTAAACATTTAATTAAATAGCCTTAAAATAAAAATTTAATTACTAGTATATAGTATATATAAAATATATACTAGGTTATTATTTATTTATAAATTAACTATATACTATAAGTACTATAAATTACTAATTAAATAATACTATAGCCTTTGCTATATTATATTAACTTTATATTTTAGCTAATTAGCTATATAACTTTATTATAATAAAACACTTTAATAATACTATTTTATCTTAAGCTAATAGACTTACACTTAATAAATTTTATTACTAATTTTAACTAAAAGTAATAAATATTTATAACTATTCTATTACTTAGCTAAAGAATGCATATAGCTTTAATGCCTTTATATACTAATAATATACCTATATCTTTTAATTAATGCCTAACTTTATTTTACTAAAATATACTAAGTATACTAAATATATAATAAGCGCAGAAATAAATAATATAAATATAAAAATAAATAATATAAATAATAATATTATATTACTAATACTTTAACTTTTTAATATATATATTATTAATATATTAAAATATAAGCTAATAAGCACTAATATAGCTAGTGCACTTACTTAAAACTTTAGTATATTTAGTATATTTACTATAAATAACCTAAATTTAACTAATATACTTATTAAAAACTTTAGCTTATAAAAAACTCTTACCTTAAATAAAACCCTAATACTTATAAAGTTTCCTTAATAAAGTAAAAAGGCAGTTATAATAAGCACTATACTTATACTAAATAATATATAAAACCTAACTATCTCTTTAACTTTAAACTTTACTATTTTATAACTATCCTTTTTATAAAGCAGCTTTTTATTTATCCTTAATACCTTAATATATATTTTAAAAGACTAGCTATATAAAAACTTTATAAATAATATAACTAATGCTTTAAGCTAAAAGGATACTAACCTTAATAACTATAATTAAATAGGCCTTAACCTAAATACACTTATAATAATAGCTAAAATAGCTATACTTTAGGCTTATATAATATAAAGTCTTTAATAGTAATAATTAGCTATACTTATAATTATTAATACTACTAATACTTAAGCCTTTTATTTATAAAATATTAAATACTTTAACCTTAATATAACTAACTTAACTAATATAAGTATTATCTTAAGTAAAAATATAGTCTATATATATATATACTCTTTTATAAATAGACTTAAGCACTTTATATTTATAAAAGGCAAGACTATAGTTTATAAAATATAAATAGTATATTTATATAGTAATATACTAGTTTAATATATATACTACCTATTTAAAGTTAATAAAGCCTTTTTATAAATAGTAATAGTTAATACTATTTATTAAAAACTTATTAATAAATTTAAAAAGCTAATAGCTAATATATTAAAATAGGTTAAAAATATAAAATATACCCTGCTTAATGCCTTTTATAAAAGAGATATATATATATTTATTTATAACTTACTAAAGGATATAAAGTTAGCTAACTTTAATAATTAAAAATAGCTTACTATTATATACTAGGCATTTAATACCTTTATTTAAGCCTTACTCCCTTCTTTATTTAATACTATAATAGTTAATGCTTTCTTTACCTAGCTATATAATAAAGAAAACACTATATAAGCTATAGTAAATAAATGCTTTTAATAAATAAACCTTAAAAAGTAACTAAAGGCGCTTTATAATAGTTTCTATAAATAATATAAAGGCTATAAATAAGAAAACTAGTAATAAAGTAAGTATTATAATAACTATAACTAATAAGTAAATAACCTACTATTATAATAAAACTATTTAATTAATCTAGCACTAGGAATTTAATAAAGCTAGTTATAGTAAAACCTAAATAGCGCTTAATAAAATAATTAGCTAGGTAATATAAAATAATAATAGCAGAATAACTAATAGTAAATACTAGTATTATAAAACCTTAACCTAATACTAAACCCCTTTTAATAAGTATTATAAGCTTTAGTAAATTAAGGAAATACCTTTTACTTATACTATTTATATACTAATTAAGTTTTTTAAAAATAGAATAAAGACTATATAAATAAAATATATAATTAATATTAAAATAATTACTTTTATAAACTAGAAATAGGCTACTTTAATAATATATTATAAAATAATATATACTATTATAATAATTAATTTAACTATAATAATACTTACTATAAACTACTTATATAGCTAGAACTACTAAATATAAAAACAGAGTAGTATAAAGCTAAGCTAAATATATCTTATATAAAAAACACCTACTTTATTAGTTTAACTATAAAAATATAAAAAATATATAAAATATATAAAGCTATATTCCCTTTTAATAATACTCTCTTTACCTACCTAGAATATAATTATTAAATAGCTAGAAATAAGCATACTTAAAATAACACTTAAGGCTATAAGGACTCTTAAATAGTTAACACCTTAATTAAAAATTATATTTATTACTCCTTCTTTACTTATAATAATAATATCCTTAAACTAGCACTTAAGCTAATATAATTTATAATATTATAATGCATTATTTTTATAATAAATAATATAAAACTAGGCATAGGTTTTACTTTTTATATATAAATATACCGTAAACTTTAAATTACACAAGATTTAAAAAAACTAAGCTTGCATGCCTGCAGGGTTCTATACAGGAGCCCCG